GAATTTCCACATGGAGTTAACGTAGCAGAAACTGTCAATGCTGTATTTGGAGAGGATACGGCATACGCAAATACGGCAAACGCCGGCAATACAGCAAATTACGACTTGAAGAAAGAACCACGAGGAAGACCAGTCACAAATGTAAATGACGTTGAATTGAAGGTAATGATGGAAGCCGATCCGTATCAAACTACCACGAAACGTCATGGTTTAATGTTAGCATACCCACAGTATGACATATGGCGTTTAAATAATGACGACGGAACTCGCAGCAAAACAGCTTCACCGTTATTGCTCTATGATAACGCAACACCTCACACTGCTTGAGAAACAGTTTTACTACTACAAGACCTGCAGATATAAATTATCCATCATCCTACATATTCGTCGGACCTCGCCCCGACCGACTACCATTTTTTCCCGCAATTTGATTTTTTTTTGTATGGAAATAAAATTCCCAGGAAGCAGTACAAAAATCCCTTCACACAGCTGTGGAGTCCAGGTCTCCAGACTTCTATCGCAAAGGTTTAAATGACCTTCCGATTACATTGCAGAAATGTATAGACAACAAGGGAAAAAACTTTGTTAAAACAAATATATTTAATCTTAAAAAAATTGTTTTAATTTTTCAGTGCGAAACGGCAATTTCATACTTTAACCCCTAATATTAGAGCGACATAAAAATAAATTTAAGTCGTTATAAATCAGGAAAAGAAGTGTTTTCTTTTTCATGGAACTTCTTAAATATAATGGTAGTACTGTTTGAAACTCGAATAAAAGCCAAAGAGTACGACACTCCAATCTATTATAAAACAGCGTAGGTGTTGAAAACAACTGCAACTAAACGTTATTTTACGTTTTCTGACTGATATGAATAATATTTTTCAGGTGAAATTCATACTTCGCCTCCTCAAAGGGCGATTGGAATGCGACACACACAAGGAGCGTCTGTTGTTCAAATACATGTGCTATGAACTCGAGCGTTTGCACAACGGTGAAGATGTAACCTTCCATGACGTCATCAAGTAAGTAACGCACACACTCAACATAGCCTCGCACTAGGGAAACCCTGTGTCGCGAGTGCCATGAACACCCACATGCCATGAACAACCACAAATTACACCCAAACTCACGAGAGAAATAAATGTAGGCCATACAAATAATCCTCTCGGCCCGGGAATCGAACTTGGGGCCTCTGCGTGACAGTTCGGCATGGTAACCGTTCAGCCACGGAGGCAGTTAATAAGTTCATATTATTATTTTTTTAATACAAAAAGAAATTATAAATTTTAATATAAACTTATTGAATATCATGATATGTTATTACAATGATATTGACATCTTGAGTCGCCAGCTGATAACTGTAAAGGTACCTGCCTGAGTGAAGAAAATCTTCACTTCACAGAAAAAATCGTTAAAAACCAAAAACAAAGATCTGCAACAATCACATAGAAAAATTCGTAAGGTCTGCTGGTTCGTTCCGAAGCTCAGTTGGGACAGCGTCAGACACGGTACGCTGAGGGCGCTGGCTCGAATCCAGCAGTATCGAAATGATTTTTCTTAGTGTTTGATCTTTGTATTAATATTATATATAACAAATTATTTGTTAATAATACAAATTATTTGTTAATAATATGACAAATGTCAGTACATCGCCCTCGCTGATATTCTGCAATAGCTCGTAATGGTTAAGAACACACTAAAAATTATCAAACACCCTTACTGAGTAAAAACAATAATTAAAATCCAATTAAACTTCCAAAGTTATGTTTATGACATTTTAGAGAAATATGTAAGGTATATCTATAACATATTTGTTTATGTATTTAGTTTATTTAATATGCCACGAATACAAATAACCAGCTACAAATAATAATTAAAACTATTAAGTAACATTATAAATATGACATCCAATTGTTATACACAACATTTATAGTAGTCATAAATATCCAAGAAAATATTGACCGTTATATTTACTGACACCAAAATATAGTATTGCTTGTAATACTAAAAAAAATGTGTCAATGTTATGGATCAATCCTAACATAAGTTAAATCTCAAATTAAAAAACAAATACACTTTAAACATATAAACAACACGGGTTATTGAGTATGAAAATGTCGATAACCTAGAATTTATTCTAGTTGGTACTTGGTACTTGGTGCAACGGGCTGATATCCGCAACTCGACGACAAAGCGCCTATTTTGCGTGTATTTATTCTAGTTATTATACACTTAGTTTTTTATGTAAAATATAAGTGCCCATTTGACCTACATCTCACCTGAAGAAAAGTAACGTTGAGGTTGGCCATGGAACGGAAATAAGCACTATTTAGGTGTACCTCCGAAATAATGCCTATTCATGCTTGCCTTGAAAAGGTTTAACATATTATAAAGTTTTTTTTTACTGAAACTAAAATATTAACAACACGACAATTAATCTGTCCGCAGTATGCTATCATACCGCACGGTAGACATTCGCAAGTCACTGCAGATGGAGGAGCTGCTGGCGCGCGAGGAGTTCGAGTTCCTCATTGAGGAGGAGGTGGCCAAACAGACTATTCGCACTTGGCTCGAAGGGTGTCTTAAAAAGATGCGCGCTGCTGCTAATAATGTGAGATAAGCGACGCCATTTTTTTACGTTAACAATTGTCCGTTTGACTATATGTTAGGCAAATTCACCTAGAATAAATATTTTTGTATATTATGCGTAGTCCAACAGTAAATTAAGAAAACAGCAATATTAAGAACTTTATTTACGGGACACTGTGTATGTAATTTTTTTTCAACGTTTACTTAGTAGTGTTCGAATCAACACTACTAAGTACACGTCGAATGTACAGTAAACGTCATTGATTTTGTTTTATAGAAACAACAAACAAGCCTCCTTACCAGTTTGAGGAAAACAAATGAACAAGCTGAAGAAAAACTTGACGCTGAAACGCAGGTAATTTACTTTTAAATAATTCGTAATATACTGTGCAGTCGAAGGAATTAAAGGCTGATTTTACTTCTTTTAGCTTCGCAGTGCGAATTTCTGCCTTTGCAAAATAGGAAAATATGAGGACCTTGAAATCAAGGCGCTAGTATTATCTTTTAGTATAAAAAAAAGTTTCTCAACACGGAGGGATCCTATTTAACTTGACCATTATGTTTTACTCGATAGATTTAGTGCTAAAACTGTTACAAAAACCGTTCTATAAAATCTGCGAATGTATACAGAGAAGACAATCAGTCATCATCATTTTCATGTTCATCATGAATTTCTTGATTACGATTACAGCATATTATAATTATTCAGTTTCTTTTATGAAACAAACTGAACTATATCATTACGGGTATCTGCCTAAATATAAAGTTTTCTTTTATATGTTCATAAGTGTGTATATATATATATATATATATAAACATTTTGAAATTATTATGTTCTTAAAATTTTCAGCCACCTTTGGGCAACATATGGCGCGGAGAAATAACAGAGTCTGCATCACAACCTACAATGTCCAGTAAGTATATTTATGTCTAACTGAAAAGGAAATAAATTATGATATTTATTTAATTGAATATTATGATGTTTTACTAAGTATTCATATATTTTTTGTGAAAATACCCTTATTTCATTTCACGATACTATACGCGAAAATTAGATAGTATTTTACGTAGTAGTAGAAACTACTTAAATAATAAAAATTAACACGGAAATCAGGCACTGAACACTTACTATTGAATGACCATGGCCATTAAAAGAACCCATTAATATCACGTTGAAAAACGCCAAATGAACCGGCCGTTGCCATAGTTAGTAGCTAATATTAGTCAGACGCCAGCACGACTAATTATATTAAATATTAATGTTTAGTCACACGAACTGCGTCACAATCGCATCTCAACTGTGAAATAGTCAATTGCAATGCAGCTCGCGTGGCTTCAACTTTTGATATCATCTTTAGTGTTTAATGGAATAACAAGTTAGTTTTTAGAGGAAATAGCTAAAAAATTGTTAAAACTTAGCCGTATTTTATAGAAACTAAATGATAACACTGGAGAACACTAATTACAGCACACTAAAAACGATAAAACTGGCTATACCAGACGAGAAAGTAAAAAAAACAGTCGATGTGTGTATTTAAAACTTTTATCACTAAACAATTTTAGATAATTAATTTTACAACCAAAGCCGCGGTTTGTTTTGTTCAGAAAAATAGAAAGGCCGAAATATAAATTCGAAACAAAAATAATTTTTTCAGACCTAGAATCACCTATATTACATCAGAAAAATCGGAACACTTCCGTTTTTATGGTTTCTGTCTTAATTTAACACAGAGTTTTCATTCCATGAAAAAAATCACATTATTGTATAGCTGGCAGTTTGGCCATTATAATGGTAAGCGAAAATTCAAAATTAGAATTTCATTTGTTTATCCTATAAATGAAATGATTCACTGTTTTGAGACAAATGTGTGTTTAGAGTTGGAGTACATTTCACCTTTGAAAACTAAAAATTAGCGCTTATCTTAAAACTTTTTGTTCTTTATTTGTTTGCTGTGACTTTGGGACGTCTGAAAAAGTTTTTTTTTCTAAAACATGGATACTTCGCCCGCAGAAGCCGCCCAAGTGGTGGAATTGCTGGATTCTAGACTTAGTCAGCGTGTTGTGGCTGAAAGATTGCATCTAAGCCTGTCGTCTGTGCATGGAGTCTACAAACGCTATCGGGAGATTGGATTGTTCACGCGCCGTTCAGGATCTGGTAGGAATCGGGTCACTTCTGAGCGAGATGATCGGTTTATTGTAACAACTTCTTTACGAAATCGACGCCTTAACGCTTCTCAACTGCAGCAGCAGCTTCATGTTGTACGTAGGGTGGCTGTAAATGACTCTACAATTAGAAGAAGGTTAAAGGAACTTGGACTGGTACCGCACAAGCCAGCAAATGGGCCGAAATTAACTGCAGACCATCGAAGAGCTCGCCTTAACTTTGCACGTGAGCACCTAAATTGGTCATATCTCCATTGGAGCAAAGTCCTCTTTTCTGATGAGTGTAAAATTATGCTGTATGGTAACGACGGAAGGAACAAGGTCTACAGAAGAGATGGAGAACGCGTTGCACAATGCTACATTGAAGAAAAGGTCAGCTATGGTGGAGGTTCGTGGACGGCTTGGGGAGGAATCAGCGCCGACGGTAAGACAGAGCTTGTCTTCGTGTCTGGGCCACGTCTGCCTGCACTAAACAGTCATCGGTACATCGAAGTGTCTTGAGCCTCACGTGATGCCCTCTGCACATTTTACTGGCAACGGTTTCATATTCATGCACGACAATGCTAGGGCTCACACCGCGAGGGTCGTACGAGATTATGTTACCGAAGTCGGAATCTCCATTATGGAATGGCCAGCAAGAAGCCCGGACAAGAATCCGATTGAACATCTATGGGATTAATTAAAGAGACGAATTCGTGCAAGAGATCCTTTTAAGTGAAGTCTACCCCGAGATCCTGCCCCAGAAACACTTAGTCAGCTGCAAAATGCAATCTAAGAGGAATGGGATGAAATGCCACAACATTTGATCGTGACTCTCATCCGATCGATGAAAAACCGTGTAGTAATAAGAGCTCGGGGAGGGAATACAAGTTATTAAATAAAAGTTTCTTAGCCTTTTTTTTTCATTTACTTGTGTTGTTTTATCAATATCCTTCATACTCCATACTGGGTAAAAATTACTCGACGAAACCTATGAAAATTTAATTTGAATTTAGAACATTAACATTAGGATTTGAAAACCTCCTATTATTCACTATTAAACGACATTTGACATATATTCCTAAATATACACATTTTTCTGATAATCCTTACAAAACATAAACTTTCAAGGTGTTTCGATTTTTCTGATGAGAAGTGTAGTTATGTTGACGACTAAAAGCGACCCGTGTCTTCTCGGTCCGCGCTGCGCCGCGCTGATTTGCACGAGGGCGTGCTCACGCTACAGGCCCTTACATACGATCCCACGCCCGCTCCGGCGGCACTCTTCCCACGGCGGCGCCCGTTAAAACACGGGCCGCGCGAAGCCCGCTTGTCAGAAATATGTAAGGCGTGGTGACCACGTGACCCGTAAACAAGCCTAAACGTTGAAGTTTCATTCCCAATGGGCAACAATCACGAAAACACAAGAACTCGATACTAAATCTAATTTGTCAGCAGTTAGACTACAATGCATATTATTTAAATGTTACTGTATTTGCCTTGCAGATATTACTGCATCGGTTGAGGTTCCAGCAAAGAGATCATCTACCAAAAGTCAGTTCAAAAGACCTGGCTTGGCATCTGTTACTACACCACGGTAATTATTGTAATTCTGTTGTAATTGCAGCCAATTTACAATACGGAATGCTGTATTGAGATATTATTTTGGTTTTCAGTCCCGAAAGTCCGGTCAAAAAATATTTGCAACCAACACTTAGTGACCCTCATCCAGCGTTGAACAAAAAAACAACACGTAAGTAATGCGCGTAGATGTTCGTTTTTGAACAGTGAAGCAGTGCTCAATTCGAACATAACATGAAGCCATCCTAAGCTTCTCGCGTGCATGTCGTACTCTGGCTCCACAGTGTCCAGCATGTTATTTATGATATTATGTTTTTAATCGGAGATGGGCAGTGGGTTAAAACCCAATCAACCCGCTCGGGATTTCTGCCCAAAATCGCAGGCGGAAACGACAAACAAACGACAAATACGGAGTTTGATATATTCGATACCAATTTCAAGTTTCGATATAAAAAAATATTTTATAGACGAAAAAGAGACAACTCAACACAATACGTACCCCTTGCCATCCTGTTGATTCTTACTACCAAGGATGCACAAAAATACGATTCGATTTTATGAAGATCGATTCAAGTGCATAGGATCTAACGATTTTTTTTAAATCTGTTTCAATGCGATGTTATTTAAATTTGAACAAAACTCCAATTTACAACAAATATTTAGTTGTAAATAGTTTTTGCTCGCGATTTCTGGCGTACTAACGCCAACAGCGCCGGGGGGTTTCAATCCGATTGAAAACCCGGGTTCTTGCCCTTCTGTTTTTCATTAATCCTTACTTAAACTTAACGTTCGAATCGCGTGTGTCGAGTTTAGGCCATAGTTTACCACACATGCCCAATGTGGGTAGGAACTTAACGAAGAATTTAAACCTTAATAAAAATTAAATTTCAGCTGTAACAAAAACCAACAATCGTATGCACAACAGCGAGAAACCAGTAGTACACGACCAGCCGGCGTTGCACGACGTGCATTCGTGGTGGGATGGGCAACTGGCGCGACAGATCGTCGTCGACTGTGACTAGCAAGTACAGCATATGCCCCGTGGCAGCGGATCAACTGCGCTATATGGGCGTTACCTTTACGACTGATTTACCTTGATCTTATATACTAAATTCACCACTGAATTGGCAATTAATGGCAAATTTCCATTACTTTCTAAATCCCATTCTTGATCAATCAATTGTCTCAAGGTACCTAGAACACATCGGCGGCAAAACTATTAACGTCTTGTATCTGTTCTTTCCTCTCTTTTAGTTTATTTTTTCTTTTGTCTCGCTTCACATTTATGTGACTTACTCCTAAATGTGACACTAACAATTGTGACAAAGTAGCGATAGGTCAGTAGACTTATATAATTACGTTATCAGTAAGAAATTTACAGGTTAAATATGTATTTTATTGAATTTGTTTTTACTACCAAGATATTAATAATTATATTTTTTGTGAAATACTCCACTATGGTCTGTCTTTTTGACGACGGAGTAAAATGACATTTGCAGGGTTGTCAGTGTACATGTATTGTTCTCGACAGATTAATCGATAGATTGTGAAAGAAAACGAAAAACGACTGAAATGTGAATGTTATGACGTTCTAATTATTACTAATTGCGTTATTGCCTTTATTCTTATTTTGATGGTTGACCTATCGGAATCATATTTTATTCATATACATTTTAATAAAAGAACAGAGCGGATTTGATTGTTTATATTGAATCAAAATTAAAAACTTTTAAATATGTCTCCTCTTTACATTTTGAATAGTCATGGTTCTAAATGCTGTGTTATGTACATACACATGTATGAACTTACAAAATTGATAATTTAGATTAACCTGTGCCCAGCAATTGCACGAATAATGGGCTGATGATGATTAAAATGAAACTTGTTCGGCTATTTCCCCAAAATTCTGTCGATAATCGACAGAATATTTATCGACTGCAATGACTAGCTACTTGCAAGCAAGCCACACTTATATGCAATGAACTGTCATTCTACTCTATCTTAAAAAAGATAAGACTATAGTTTAGATTAATTAATTTGTATCATGCTTAAATTTATATAGGTAGTTAAAACAATTTGATAGTTCTAAACTAAAACTAAACATCTGTTTTTTCTACACCACTTAAAATAATTGTAAATTGCGTTCGAGGGAATTGATGATCTTACTTTGTGGCATAAATCAGAAACAAATATGAAATTCCATCCGGTGTACTACGCCAAGAGCCGATAAATTTTAATAGGTAAGTAGAAATTGTCTATTAACTTTATACAACGAAGTACTACACCAATATATAATTGTACAATCGCCATGTTGCAAAATTTTAGAGAACTTATGTGAGAATATGAAAATTTATGTCAAAAATCAATACTAGTACCACCATCCCGCGGTCTAAAAGTCTAGTTTTTACAAAGATAGGTTTTAATGCCTACGGGACTTACCAAAATTCACTTGACCCGGCTTGGGCAAGTCAGGAAAAGCTTTACTTCCATGTAATAAGAAGAAAAAGATGTACATTTCACTTCCGTGGTTCGAACCTCCTTAATGCACTTTAAAGAGAATTGCGTGTACAGAAAGTTTACCTCCATTGAAAGAGTACCTTAAGAGTACGAGACAATCGCGCGTGGATGAATGTAAACCGGGGATTTGATGCAACACTATTGTTTAAATGTGTTCATATTGCGTATTTAACATGATATGGGATGGCACCTTTTGTTCCGGGTACTTAGATATATGTGTATTGTCGGCTAAATTTGAAAACCTTATAAGTCCAGTTTAGGACGAAATCCACTTTTTACTCTTTAAACGCAATATCCGGCAATAGAAGCTTATCTAAAATATAATTTCTAGACCCCTTTTTAGTTATCTTCATACAATTTCTTCTCTAGTGGTTCTGTTTTTTGTGCCTACTCAAAAGTTCACATAAATGTAGGTACTAGGTTTACGAATTTAGCTGTCGATATAATTTCTTTCTTTATATAGAAAATACAGTTATACTATGAAATGTAATTAATTAATTACGTATATCGTAAATTACTTTCATATGTGACAATACGTCATTTACATAATTCGTGCCACTGCCCCATTAATTAATGTTAGGTGTATTATGTAATAGGCTGACAAGTTACAGTTCAGAAAAAAGACAGCATAACCAGAGCTAGAGAAAATTAATTGAAGTTCTATTGGTAAAATATACGCGTTTTTATAATCATTGATTGTAAAGGTGCGTGGGTCACCTCATATTTATGAGATGACCAGCAGTGAGTATATTTATACTTCCCATTTCTGGTTAGGGGTTTTTTATAAGGTAAGATATATTATACAAGGTTATTGGTAAAATAACAAATTACAACCTCGCAAGAACATATTAGTAACATATGTATATATAAACAACAACTTTTGTTCCACGACTTTCTTCAAAAAGTAATGTTTACCAAAAATATTTTTTTAACTTTTTGTTGTACTATCTGACACTTTTAATCTGTATTTGGTAGTAAATTCAAACGTGCAAGCGTGTGTGTATTGCATCGAACTGGTATTTACGCTAAGTCTTGCCAGTCGTGTTGCCAGCTATGATCTACGGCTCGACGTGGTTACTTACTCAAACAATATACCTTACAAAATAGCTCAAAGTCACCCAACGAGCTATGGAGCAAGCAATCCTTAGCATTTCTCTACGTGATCGAATCAGAAATGAGGAGATCCGTAGAACGAAAGTCACCGACATAGCATGAAGGATTAGCGAGTTGAAGTGGCAGTGGGCAGGGCACATGGAACTGACGGCCGTTGATATAATATATATAATAATATACTACGGCCCCCTACTAGATGGACGGATGACCTGGTAAGGGCGGCGGGTAACCGATGGATGCACCGCTGGTCTGGAGACTTTGGGGAAGTCCTATGTTCAGCAGTTGACGTCTTCCGGCTGATATGATGATGATGATGTATTTACGCTAGCCACAGTCTATAGCGCTTTCTTTTCCTATCGCACAGAATTATCACTGTTTAGAACGATTTATTAAAATTTTCGTATGAAAGTAAAATTTGAGGGATTATTCAAAGTCATGGAACAAAAGCTGTTAAAAAGATAGTCCTGCAAGGTTGTTAGTATTTTACAAATAACCTTGTGTACCGGTTTGAGGCGGGTTGGGTTTAATACATCGTAGGTTAAAACTGAAATTCACGACATCTAATAGAGGTATAGATGTTTAATTTGTTGAGTGTAATATTTATAATACTGCCATGTCCCGGTAGTGCCAATTTAAAGTTGTTAAAATAAATTATTTAAAAATAATTATTTCTTTTTATTGTGGCCTGAAATAAGGTATTTCAACTTGAGCCTAGGAGCGTAGGAGGTGAGGTGACCTCACCTCCTGTTCGTGTTCTACGAGTTCTATCACATACAAAAACACATTTTAATATGAAATGCGGTTCTGTGCGCACAAGGTCAAAATAATAGTAATAAGTTTGCCTCGCTAGCAGCTTGAGGCGATTGGATTTCTGAGGCGTGTCGCCGGTTCGTGAATTTGAGTCCCTGACCTTAACCTGCTGTGTCATTGCTGGAGAATACATTTCCCATTTAAAATTTCTATATTAACCTTTTAGGCCATGGGAGAGGCTAGTCTAAAATAGATATCCATAATAATGTGCCGGGCACCAACTACCTGGCCTCAAACTATTGAATTCCTTGTACTATGATTAAAAGGGCAACGGAGCACTGTAATACCTAGTATAAGCAGAACAGAACCAATTTACCAAAAAACATTTCCCAAATTGATCCTACCGGAAATCGAACCCGGGCCTCCACGTTCAACGCAACGCCCACAATGCAACGAATTCATTAAAAGAAATGTTATTGACAAAATCGGCTACAAAAAATATAATTTATTGCTAAATTAAAATTAATTACTTACAATTATATGTACGGGAAGAATTGCCACGCATTTATTGTAATAAGTGGCACATTCCTAGTGAGAATAATATAACTATTGTAAGAGTAATAACAAGACATACATATCGTCCAGCAATAGGATAGTGAAAAAGTTTAGCGCGCAACTTTAGGGTGGAAGCGTAAAGCATCACCGTGGTTATGTCTTCGTGGGGAGTGTCTTGATGAAGGAACGGTCGTACGCAGAGCTCATGCCCGACTGACTGTGTTCGTCGACATTCTTTGGATAGTCTCGCCGCCTGTAATTTATTAACCCTGCGTTTGTTACAAAACAGCACATTGACTAGAAGGTTATATAAATATACTTTTCATTAATTTTTTTATATTTATATATTGAGCATTGGCTATAGAGCCATCAGCAAAGACAACAAATACTTAAACTAAAAAATAATTCACTTAAAAACTGTAACTTTCAAATCATTCAACAAAATCTCCGTTTTTTAGACAAAAACCGTAATTATTGCGAGCTTGGATTTTGAAAATTGATCGCATTAGTGACATTATTACAACCGAGCTATTGTTTTAAGGTGTCCAAGACATTATGGTAATAAATGCAGGTAATAATATTAAAGAAAGTTTGCTTAAATACCTGGATAAAAGGCACAGCTACCGCTGAAAGCCAAAGTAACTGGTTGAGTACGCTGATGCCCGCAATAGGTTCAGTTTCCGTGTCAATCTTATCAATACTCAGAAGCCACAGCACCCCTGATATAGCCCAGGATACATTGACGATAATAAACAAACAAACCGCCGGCGCCAGGTCGTTGTTCAAATATTTCAACAGTTTTCGGAACTCTGCTATTTCCTGAAATTACCAATACATAATACGACGAGAAAGTCTGACTTCAATTTCTCACGAGTAACTGAAAAAGGGCTTTTAAAATAATATTATATATCTGAACTACGGTGAAATATATCGACTGTGAACTGGCAACCAGTACTCTCTCAGTTTTGACAACTTTACAGGATGAAGAAATAATAATTTGTATAGTATCTGGTTTATTAAATAAAATTACTTAGTGGACATACATATGTTATCCTGTAAAGTTATCAAAATTGAGATAGTACCGATTGCCAGTTCACAGTCGATATACACAAACTAAACTGCGAAAAAAAATCGGTGAAAATGACTTAACAACGAAAATACGCAAAAACAGATAGATGCATCATGCCTCTGTGTTTAGTAGAAAGAGTGTAAGTAACATTTTAGACTTCACGGGAGCATATTTTAGGTTTCAACGACTGTGCGTTAGCAGCTACAACACATTTTGATATAGTTTATAGTATTTTATTCTCTTCAATTTGTTATATTTATGACGTTTTGTTTTTGTTCTAAGTCCTGAATAAAATATACATATACCTCACGATCCCAAAGGATTTTCAATTTCTTCCCCTTTCTCCCTCTATTTATAACTCTTTTAAAATTAATTAAAACCAAATTTTAATTTTAAAATAGGGCCTAAATATTTTAAAACATTCGTTAAAGCCTGCAAAATCTACGAATGTCGCCTAGAGATTGCAATCATTCAAATATAAATTTAAGAACTCTTCAAATGTGCGCAGAAGCGCTAAAAACAAAAACAAAACTTAATTTTGTAGTTTTTTGCAAAAATAGTTCACTATTTATCGGCGGTGCAATCTATAAGCTATAATAATAATAACGCACACACTCAACATAGCCCCGCACTAGGGAAACCCTGTGTCACAGGTGCCATGGACACACGCATAGGCAACTACAAATTACACCCAAACTCACGAGAGAAATAAATGTAGGCCATGCAAATATTTCTCCCGGCCCGGGAATCGAACCTGGGACCTCTGCGGGGCAATCCGACATGGTAACCGTTCGGCCAACAAGGCAGCCCTAAAAACAAAAAACTTAACTCTAATTTTTTTGCAAAAATAAGTGATTTAATCGGAGGTGCAATATTACATATATTGCACCTCCGCATATAAGCGATAAGCTAAAAGAAATTTATTTATTTGTGTTGTTTTCGAATAATCATTGTATTAGATATGCTGTACCAACCTATAAACGTCCCAATGCTGGGCACAAGATCCCTTAGAAGAAGGCCAAGGTTAAACGATTTAATGTTATTTAACTGTATACGCACCAAAAGTACGTATGAATCTTAGTATTACGCACTGTATAGCGCCCCATTACTCTATCGTGTGAAATTAAAAAAACTACTAACTCTCATCCAATTAAGTGGAGTAATGGTTCTATTAAGTAGACGTTCCTTAAGGAACATGAGGTGTGCCTGCAGAAGTTGAGCCTGGAGGCAGTAGCTAGTGATGATGGTGGCCTGCACCATGTCATGGATTAATGTGCAAATAATCAGCAGAATTTTCAATGTGAGAAGGATTTCCGCGGAACTGAAAAATAGAAAAAGTCGAGTAAAAGTAGAAAAAATTAAGAGTCAGCCAATACCTAAGACTTGAATGTTGACTTAATTTTTAGTTTTAAATGCGCTAATAAAGTAAAATAGACTGCCATACCCTTGGGAGGATTAGACCAATAGGTACACGGTAAGTAATATGATAAATTGACAGGCTTTGGTTGTGATCTTAGCCTACATATAACGCGACTACGCTTAAGCTTGCTGAAGATAATTTGTCGGAAACTTATACACATATGTATACTAAAAATATTATGTATATAGTAAAGACATTAATTGGGTCGCATTAATAAGACGACGCTTATATACCAGCTGCATAATACTTTTGTCACTTAATACCAGGACAAATAAAACAATGTCGCCGACAGCGCGCCCGCTGTTACATTTCGTCTTGTAATAATATTATTACGAATAATAGCCCTTATTGCTGACACATTTCTCAAATGTTATAATATAATTCATTACTAAAAAATCAGTACAATTCCTTAATCAAAAATATAAAAATAACTTCTTCAAATATTACGAACGACGAATTTCGTCTTGTAATGTATACCATAAATATCAATAACTACAGCTCATTTTTAAATGTTTTATTTCGAGGTTTTAGCCACATGTAGGTAAGGATAAGTTAAGTCCTTTTCTTATAGTTAGACGTGTTTTTCACACCAAATGTTTCTCTAATGACACATTCTAGAAATATTTACCTGGTTTCCATCCATCGAAACATGATCGATCCTTTAGTCATCATGAGGTTCACGGAGACGAGGGAAAGGCCCATCCACAGAATGCTAAGAATGATGAAGAACCACAGCATGCGTAACAACCGCTTCGGTTTTGCTGATGGCGTGCCTTGCGGGGCATATGAGGATAACAGAAACACCTGAAAGGATCACATGTGGTATGTTTTAAAATGGAATAATTTATTTCGTTTACGTTCAATTGTCAATAGTTTTATGCTGTATGTATACAACAAATAATTGATTATGAAAAAAATGTTTCAGTATAATTTTGTTCCTAGGCAAATATAACATAAAGCTTGACATGTTAGATTCGGAAACCACCCTCCACCTTAATATGGGGGCATCGAGTAGATATATAATCAGAAATAAAGACGAAATAATATAATAATCCATCCCTGCCAACTCATCAAGCAAATGGGCCTTATTTCACTTTTAAATATCAACACTCGTTTGCACGGAAATCACAATTTAGAAAGCTGAAATAGTACAGCGCCAACAACTTACCTGTGTACAAAAATATTCTGTATCTATTTATTGTAATAAAGATAATATCTTTAACTATGGGGGGCTGTTCCTTTCGGTGGTGTGGGAAAAAGAGCAAAATATCTAATTACAAAACAAACAAAATCACATTTCATCGGTAATTAAATATGTAATTTTTCAATTTTCGTCCATTATAACAAAGCTTAAGTTAAACTGGACGATTTGAAGTGAAACAATTGACGACACCCGTCAATTGTTTCGAAGTCGGACTGACCAATCGGAGTGCAGTTATCACCGTAATGATTTGGCAGAATAGTTTTCAAACAAATTAAATTAAATTTCGTCTCTATTTCTGGTTATATTCACCATGTAAGGGACATTACAGAAGTGTAAAAAACAAAATATTGTTCAACTGTAGGTAAATGTCACATTTTTTAATCTTTTTTTATTTACGAACTTTTATACAATGTATGTATATGCCAGTTCCATTGTACCCTAAACTATAGTTTACATGTCTGGGCGGCACTATTGGAGATAAATAGTAATAGTCTTTTTGCCTGTTTCGTGTGGGGATTGCTTAATATACAATTTATAGCACCTAAGGATGTTCGGTTGATCTGCAGGTCTTTCATCAACACCGCCCTCTGTTGTTCGTACTCGACACATTCCAGTAACGAATGATATGCATCTTCCACTACACCACATAACTTGCAATTAGGAAGGTAAATGTCACATAAGTGACAAAATTCATTCCTAGCGCCTCCATTTCGAGGCCCAAAAGTAGCTTTACAAATACTTAGATCGTATAATTATGTATGTAATAAGTAGAAACACAAGCTCTTTAAGACGTAAGAGTGTATTTAGGAAACACTTACCCTCTCCATTAAATTTTGCAACTGTTCATTATCAGATATCCTGAACAAATATAGGGCGTACAAAAACCCCACGAAATGTAATACGCTCGGACCGATATATGTGAAAGTTACGTTTCCGTAACAAACTTGCTTGTAAGTATCATATTCTAACGAGGACGTCAGCGCTAATGGCACTAATTTGTAGCAAAAGCCTCGATCTCTCCTGGAATGTATGTTTTATTAATGTTCATCAGTCATCATACGGGCAGTCCTTGTCATAACTAACGTAATCGACATTTTTAGCGAAATTGAGTTATTAACATCTGGAATCAGCGAAACGAGATCTACAACTCCGTGTCATAATGGTTCTGTAGCGAATCGCAGCAGTCGTTTTGTTAATCTTTTAAGTTTGTTTTATATTTCAATACTAAATTTAAATGTGATTGTTTTTGGCGCCTCTTTTCTTGGCTATAAACTAGCCTCTTTATGTAGCTGTAAGTACATTTGCTTTGGCCTTGCACACTCATTGATAGCACCCACCCTTTAACGCGTTGATACAGCAGTCCGCTACACGTTATTGTTGAGCAAAATCTTTCAAATAAACAAAAACTAAGTGCCAATATCTCGAAAGCTACCAAAATGCAAATGCATTATTTATGACAAGGAGGGCAGAAATGCGCGCTTAATTTTATTTTTAAACAAAAGAAAGCATAACTCTACGTATTGTGTTGAGCCAATGGAATACTGCGAAATTTGATGGGGTGATTTTAGAATGAATATCATGCTTTTGATTTAAATGTAAATGCGTTGGTTGTGACGGTTTTGTCAAAGAGGGCAGAATATTGCCCAAAATAAATCGCATTGGGAAAACACACCCGAGAGAAACCATGATGGTTTACACATTGTCTTAGGTTTATACCAAACTACGGAACAACTCTGCTAATTTGGCACCTAATCTTGATGTTACTTTACATACTTTGATTATCATTTTAAAATATGTTCAGTGTGTCGGTCTTGAGTTTAGTTTGTTTACAAGTTGTTGTAAGTATGTGACTCACCTGAAACAAGCCATATACTGCAAAATATACCCCAAACTCATGAGTACGGCTACTTGCGCCGAATGAAAGTGTGAAAGGCAAATCGTACATTTAGATGAATTGGATACATCCACAACGGGCCGCAAGCCCATTATTGTTAATAACTTTAAGTATGGCACTAATATCTGAAAAAAGGTATTCAAATTTTACATAGGTCCATGATATATATTTTACTTGCTTTATAAGTTTATATATTTTAGTAGCAGTAGAGCTCCTTGTCAAAGAGTTAGTCTAGGGAAGTGCCAACTTACCTATTTCTGCAGCCAGCGTCAGTAATGCGTTATTACGTTTCGATTTTAAGGGGTAAGGGTGTTGGTCAAATTACAGGCACATGGGACTTGCCAACTTATGTCTCAGGGCGACTGGCGCAGCGACTGATAGTGCCCATCAGATCTTTGTGATTTAAAGCACTGAGTGGCACTGCAACTGTTATAATAGGCGCACGACTTGGTTCGTCTTGTCACATGGTATCATAAAAAAAAGTAATTACCTTAGATTTACAGTAATGTAATATTGCTGACGTACTCATATATTCCGTATCAGGGGATTCCGTTATTTCACCTATCTGAAAGGTCCAGTTGAAACGAAACATTATGACTACGACATTAGGCACATAATATTAGTTTACAATCCGATACGAAAAGAAAATAATGAAATGTAATGGGATACTCACATCAACACTGTTGGCATCGAGACTGGATCTGTTCGATCGCTGCATAGTGGGCGCGTACAACTTGTCGTTCCCTAACACATGGCCGTCCAGGAGATCACTTGCTACATGGTCGTTTGAAAAGTTTAAATTATCCATTTTATTGCATATAACTACACTCTTAATTACATCCATGCACATTACAAAACAATAACTTATCAATTAATTATATGTAGGTACTCGTTGATGAGGCAAACAAGGTTTTACTAAGATGACGGTATTTTTAAAATTACTTACTGCTGCCGTAGGATCCGTTGTCATTTTGCAGTGTACGAAAATTTCTATAACTATGTCCGATTGACTCACAACCAGTACGATGAGGGTCAACATCCATCGCGCCTCTTACTTTCGATAGTGACACAAAAAAAATAATGCATTAAATCATGTACAACTTCATACATGTTTTTATTTGTAAACAACGTTCATACGACTGATTAATATGATGATGAACTTTATTGAAGTTAATAATATGGTATCAAGTATTATATATTATGCTCTATGTCTCTATATATACGTCCTCTTTCTGTACTCATTTCTAATAAAGTTGAGATGAATTGGAAATTGTAGTTATTAATGCACTAAATAATGTGCATGATTTACAACAGATTTATAGTTCTTTAAAAAAACGACAAACCCAAATGAGACCAGTACAGCTCTTAGAAAGTATTGAACTCCGATAACCCCTATGATAAGGACGAAGAAAATGTTTATTATGCTCGCAAAAACAATAAATAATAAAAATCGGTTTTTAATTTATATTACTACAAATTAAATACAGAGTATACTTGTAACAATACGTGATTAGAACATTTTAGGTAGTTTCTTTTTTGTTAAAAATCCCGTCTTTCTGACGATCTGTTTTCTTTCTTGATGATGTTTCTTTATTTTCTTGCGGTTTTCAGATTCAAATTTATTCCCTCTCATGTTGAATCTCATTTCTCTATTACCACCTGTTCCGGTTACAATTGTGGAGAATCCTTCCTTGGCTAATCTATCTCCCAAGCTTGTCTTACTAACTTTCGTTAAACTCTTGATATTATGTGCTTTTGGTGCTTTACTGAATTCGTAAACTTCTCCATTATCAGGTGTTTCTGTGTCGTCCTCTGCTTGTCTCTTGTGTCTGATAATCTTGTGTTGTTTCTTGACCTCTTTAACCCAAGACCTATCTTCGTCAGAACTTTCTTCGCTAGATTCGTAAAGCTCCGCATCTGAATCTTTCTCTGCTACTTCTTCAACCTGCGCAAATAGATAGTATTATTTTTGTTATTTTTACAAATTAACATTTAGCTGAAATAAAAAATATCCATATATTCTTCTTTACATCAAAATAAGATAATGGTTAGTTCTAAAAACTTAGTTATATATAATATGTGATAAAATTTGTAAATAAAGCACATACTTCCATAGATTCAGATTCCTGTTTCTTAGCCTTGGTTTTGCTCTTATCAAGCCTTGAAAGAACAGGATTTAGTAGTCGATATTCTTCAGCTGTGTTATCCACTTCGAAATCGGGGTTTTCAAATAATGCCTGAAAATAGTTTCGGTTTTGTTAGAAAGTTATTTTTGTAATTACCATAAAAATTGTGCATAAAGATAAAATAAGGTAAAGAAATATGAAAATATCTGCCATTCTCGCCTAGACCGATACAGAATACCTGGGTACTGTACTGTACCTTATTTCTGTTTAATTATAGCTCAATGTCTTTCTGGCAACATACGCTATTTTTCTTAAAATGTTTTCGTCGTACCTTGAATCTATCATCTTTAAGCAGATTAGTGGATTCCTTCTTCTTGCGTCCTCCATCGTCCATAAGGCGAGATGCAAGGTCGCGATTGACTTTTGGCAAGTTGTCGTCAATTTTGATTCTCGATGGTCGTTCTTGTTCTATTTTTTCCCTGATCTTGCGTTTTTTGTATTCCTCAAATGCAAATGGATCTGCTATTGACTTAGCTCTCTTGTACAATCGTATGTCTACAAAGTATCTGTAATAAAATAGTACATATGTATAAATACTGTTAGATTTGTGTATTTATTTCAAATACCTAAATTGATAAATAAACATTTTGTGGATTATTTGCACAATGACACGTCACAACGTGCCTGCATAATGCATTTTTTTATGATAGCAAGTGATGGAACGAAGAAGTCATGTATCTGATGGTAAGCTACACGCCTGTCTGTAACAGTTGCAGTGCCACTGAGAGCTTTAAATCACAAAGATCTGATAAGTTGACAAGTCCCACGTGCCTGTAATTTCACCAGCACCTTTACCCTTCAAAAATGAAATGCAGTAATCTTAATTTAGTACTTGGCGGCAGATTAGGTAAGATGGCAGTACTTCCTTGAATAAACTCTTTCACAAGGAGCACTGCTACTAAATGCCTGTTGTTGAGTAACATACCCCAAGAATTTGTCAATTTCATATGGAAATATTCCCGCGCCACACTCGGTGTGACGATCTCGAAAAATATCATACTTTCCAATTTTATCTAGTTAAAAATTTCCTAAAGTTTCGTGTAAAACCAAATATTTAATATCTCTCTAGTGAATCTGTTTTTTTGGAACTTACCCATGCATATAGGCTCTCAAGAGATTTGTACCAAGCAGATGATCTAAGCCAAGTCCCTCTAATTCCTGTTTTGTCACGAATTTATAGTCATCATATACAGTATGGGCTGCTGAACTCTCCAATTCTTCTGTAAGATTGTCTAAGAAGGCACACCATCTTGGGGCAGGACCTGTTAATTCGTAATTAGAATTATAAAAGTGTGTGCATCAAAATTAGTAACCACTTTCATTTTGTTTTTAAAGTAGCCTATTGAAACGAAGTAATAGTTCTAAAAGAATCTTACAAACCTAGCGAAGGAATATAGTAAATTTGCATTTTTTGATCTTCAACTGCCATCATGCTGAGTCCAGTGTTGGGGATCACACACAGGTCATTGAAATCCACAGATGATTCTAAACTTGTGTATTGCTTGCCCTGAGAATAACAAAACAAAACATCCTAATTTTAGTGGGGTAACTTTAAATTAAATTATGTTTCATTGGTTTTCTAGTTAAAGTTCAAACATTATTGAAATATATATACATACAGTGTTCTTGTTCCATATCTTGACCACACTAGAATCCATTGAATAAACATAGTCCATTTGTTTGTGAAACTCCAATTTCTTAATTGGGATTTCGTTCATGTGATCTTTGACTAAGAGAGGTTTACTAGATCGAATATCGTACAGTAGCACATGCCCAGTTGAGGTACCAACACCCATTCTTAATGGACCATCAAATTTAAGTGCCGTTATTGAAGGCACTCTGTCATTTCTGAAAATTATTATCATTATTGTTTCTATATTGTTATTCATTGTCATTTATTTATTATTATAGATACTTTTTGGGCTATATTTAATAACAATGACATGAAATGTAAATAAAATAAAATAAATTGCTGATAAATTTTTAGGGAGGGAAAAATAAAGGAGGAATTGCCAATTGTAGAAATGGCCTCAGTGTAACAGTGACAACGGAAGTATAAAATAATAGTGTACCAGGTAGCCACATCAATTTTAAAATCTCTGTACTGTTAATACCTGAGCAACGAAATTCTCTCCATGGTACTATTTGGGTGACCCAGACCAGAACTAATTTAAAAAGTTCATTTCTTACATTGGACATAGTTAAACAAAAAGGATCCAAACCACAAAATAATCAAAAAATTAGTTATATGTACCAAACGATTCCTAAAACCTCTTAGATCAACAAAAAATCCAACATATAAACATAAATAAATATCGCTGGAGTTACATGACATTATAAGTTTGAAAATAAAACAAGAGTGAGAAACATTTTTAAACTTCAAACTGCCATATCTCCAAAAGTGACTGGATGTGTATTGGATCCTTGTTTAACTACGTCCAATCGATCCTACCAGTAATCAAACCCAGGACATCCTCATACACTGCCCATAGTGCACACCATTTAGCTACTGGGTTGTCTAATAAAAGTATAGAACGTCAGTCTCGCTAATTTATACATACTTACATACATTTCAAACCATTTTCAGGCAGAGACTGAAAGTAGACTTGTATTGTGTGGTAGCACTTGTAGCTCAAAAATAAGTTACTGTAACTAAGAACTAACTTGTATTCAGAATCTGTGCAATGCAAAGCACAGTCCAGAATTCCCTGTCTTGACTTTGTTCGAGGGTCCCAAGCCTCCACATGTCCACTCTCAGTGCCAAGAATAAGAAGGCCGTGGTCCTCACTCACTGAACAGCAGTTTATTTCTGTTGCTTTTGTTACATACGGAGCTAAGAATTGGCCTAGTTCTAAATTTAATCTATACACTTCCTGTAATAAATTAAAATGCTGTTGATAAGAACGTTTAACACTGGGAAATCATTTTGAGTTTCAATAATAGTAAATTTTGATAGCTGCTGCATAGTTGAAAAAGTGCATGTGACAAAAAAATTGTTATTATGCGGATAAGGTATGAAGTTTACCGCAACAGAAATATAGATATTTTTTAATTTTATTACTTTATACATTATTTTCTCATTTTTGAGTTTTTGTCACAAAAACCCTTCCAACTAACAGCAACAGTGTTGGGCGTTAATCAATTAAATTTCAATCAATAATTGAATCAGATTAAAAAATCAATTCAATTGAAATCAATTGCAATTAAATTTGCAATTAAAATCAATTCCGGCCGGTTGGAAACCCGGTTGGGGCTCCGGTTGGGGGCCCGGTTGGAAGCCCCGGTTGGAGGCCCCGGTTGGGGGCCCGGTTGGGGGCCCGGCTGGGGGCCGCGTTGGGGGTCCGTTTGTGGGGCCCGGTTGGAGGCGCCCGGTTGGGGCCCCGGTTGGAGCCCCGGTTGGGGGCCCCCGGTTAGGGGCCGCGGTTTGGGAGCCCCGGTTTCGGGGCTCCGGTTTGGGGGCCCCGGTTGGGTGGCTCAGGCCCCTTAACTGGCCCCTAACCGGACCTCCAACCGGGGCCCCAACCGGGTCCCTCAACCGGGGCCCCCAAGCGGGCCCCCAACCGGGCCCTTCAACCGGGGCCCCCAACCGGGCCCACAACCGGGGCCTCCAACCGGGGTCTTCAACCGGGGTCTTCAACCGGGGCCTCCAACCGGGGCCTTCAACCGGGGCTCCAACCGGGCCCCCTAACCGGGGCTCCAACCGGGCCCCCTAACCGGGCCCCCAACCGGAGATCCCAACCGGACCCCCAACCAGGCCCCCAACCGGCCCCCTAACCTGCCCCCAGCAGGCCCCCACAACCAACGCCCTAACTCACCCCCATATGCCCTATAAATTTATCATAATTGTCAGTTTTAATTGTTAATTGTTAATCAAAAACATTGAAAAGATTGAAAATTGATTAATTGTTAATTGCAGATATTTGCGATTAACGATTGATCAATTGTTAGTTGCGAGAACCGCAATTAACAATTGATTAACAATTAATCAATTGTCAATCTTTAATTGCCAGAACAATTAAATTTTGCCCAACACTGCAACAGATATGGTTTTAACATAAGATTTTTCTTGATTTCTTTTTTGAGATAAGATAAATTCCTATTCTCCATTTAAGTGAAAAGAATCCACTTGATAGAAATGTCAGAAATATTACATTATTTCATTAAAAGATTGCAAAAAAAATTTAAAAGACAGGTACATGAAATTATGACTACATGAGGTATAATAATATGAAATTAAAAGTTTTATTACCGAAGAAGTACCAACTACAAACAGGTCACATGATGGCCTATGATATGCTATATCCCTGCCAAAACGAGGCACTCTGAGGCGGTAATGCCTTCCATGACCTACATGAAACTCCACATAGCGATCACATTGTAGGAATACTATCTGAAATAAGATAAAATATTTTTGTGTAATAGGTATAATAGAAGTACATAGGATCTTCATTTAAAAAGTATTAACTTTTCGTTTTCATTTCACTTTACTCTAAAGTTGCTAACAGGTTGACTGCATATTTGCAGTTAATTCATGAAGTCGTAATTGATTGCATGAAGGTGATAATGACTTGACGCATTAACTGTATGCAGTCAATCTCAACTGCATGAAGTCGGTTTTGACTGATATCAGCCTTAAATAATTAAAATAATTTTACTCGTAGAAGATGTATAGTGTAGTAGTGATGTACCTTAGTGTAATCTTCACTTAATACCTCAAAAGTAACTACTTCAGAATCCAAACATCTCTCAAACTTTAAAGACAGGTTGTTGACATCAAAGCACTTTATTCGCGGTTTGTATATCCCCGTCGCCATTATGTACTGCCCGTCTTTGGACGCCCGGATGCTAGTACTAACACCAGGCATGTCAAACTCCTGGATGAGTTCAATCCTTCTTCGCAAGTCCACATTTTTTTTTAAAAGTGCACGTTTTTTCCTTTCCGTCAACCACTAAAATATGGAACATGTGTGAATGTTATTCAGTAATTATTAACTTGAAGAACAATTACAAAAAATTGGCGCTAATACAACATAAATAATTAACTTACGTCTGGTAACGATTTTCCAGCGCTGAGATTAAAAATCTTAACATTATCTATTTCAAACACTTGCATTATGGTACATACTCACTGTATAATAATAATTTTAAAGAATAAACCACTACTTTATTTACAAAAACTTTTAGGTTAAGTTCGCATGGCTTATCAGTTTTTTTTTAATTAATAATTTTGGCTTGGATATAAGTATTTTGAGTCATGTCTTCATTTAATTATGTCTCTGTAAATATGGCCGCCACAAAGAGGATAGGCAATTTGAGGCGGCGTGCTTGGATTGACTCGGGATTCCTTAGAACGGGCCGATACGGATACATTAGTTCGAGATTCGTATAATTTCGCGTTTTAATATTCGATAAAGGCACAATAGCACTATCATATTAGATAATGAGAAGGCTGACTTTTTAGCCAAAACTATAGCAATTTCTCCAGCCAATATTCCAGAATCTCGCAATTGTTTCAAAATTTCCATCTCTTGGACAGATTAATCTCTTTTTAAAGAAAATGTCTATTGATATGGAAAAGGCATTGGAATCACACAGTTCAAGTTGAAAACAAGGGTTTATGGTATGCTACATACAATGTTCCCATTGGAAGCACTCCTTGGTTCTTTAAAAATGGTAATTTCATGAACAGGAAGTTTTACACCACAATCCTTAGGCTTCGTTTTGGGCATTGACGTCTAAACCATCATCTTCGTAATCTTTGTGACTCACAAGCAGAGCAATCTATATCCCACATAATCTTCCAATGCCCATCTTTCGGCATTCAGCGCCTTGTGCTGATGGATGAGCGAATTGAAATATACGGTAGTTCAAATTTGGTACCGCGCTCTGTTTAGGATTTGACATTAATATTTATTACAAGGATTTGACGTTAATATTTAACTGACATTACGTATCGAGATTATCGTATCCTGGATAATTCATATTTTAAACTAAAGATTTTACACGGCTCTTACTGAAATACTGAAGACTTAAATTGAAGGATCTTACACGAAGAAAAACAGAAACTAATGACTAGGCAGTATGGTCTCTGACCTTCGCCTGTTCCAAACGGAACGAAGGAAAAAATGTCAATGTGATTGTCAACAACACGTGTTGAGGTTATTGCGAATGGTATTAATTCAAGAATATTATTTATTGTACTTTTTCCAAGACTACGAAGTAAACGGTTAACCTTTAAAATGGCGAGCAAAGGTTCAAAGAAGCCATTATTACCCAAATCAGTATTGGAAATGAAATTTATGAAGAAGACCAGAGACCGAATAGAAAAAGAACGACAAAACACTCAAGACCACGACAGTTTGTATTCGAATATCATTACAAATGAAATGAGGCAGGCCTCTGGTAACTTCATAACAGAATCCAGTTTCATTTTTTGTGAGGAACTTTTGGATGGTAGGCTTTCATTTAAAGGTATGAACCCAGAGATAGAACGACTCATGGAACTGGAAAACTGCAGTAAGCAGGAGGAACTAAGACAGGAGATACAAAAAGATGTTTCAGATGAAATTCTAGCCAAGAAAATGGAAGCATTCAATAAAAGAAAACTGACATATGATACTCCTGTAAAAGAAGCCATGGCAAAAAAGAGATGGAAAAAATAATTGAATTCATAGATAGGTGTATTTGAATCTTCTAAAACTACAGTTAATACAATGTTGAATATGACTGTTTGTTGCTTGACTGTGGTTTTGAATTTGGTACAAAACATGGTATTTGATAATAGAATTATGTGTATAGGTTAAATGGAGATATTACTCAAAATCTTCACCAATTAATAGAAGTATTGTGTAAGTTATGATTTCACAATACTTCTATTGTTTGTTTGCAATTAATGTTTATGAGTACAAAACTGGTCAATACAGGATTTTGAAATATTAACAACCTTGCAGGGCTATATTATTAACATCTTATACAACAACTTTTGCTCTTTGATTTATCAGCAGTGATTGGAATAGGTACAGTTTATTTACCTAAACTTCGAGGAACAAAGACGAAAAGTGGAGACTGCCTTGCAACTTTTTTTTCGTCACGAATTGTTTCAGGATTCATATATTTGGGATAGGTAGTAGGTAGACTATATTTATCTAAAGGAGTTGCTGCAACCACCAACTTTTCGGAATATTTAGGAAAATTGTGACAAAAAATTCAAAAAAGAAATTCAAATGATTAATACTAAGATCTATCTATAGATCACTTAGAAAAAAATCCTTCGATCGGGCCGGATTCAAACCGACCGTACGCTATGGCATAGTGTCTGACACGGTTTGCTAGAAGACTCTGAATCCGGCCAGACCAAAGACAATTTTTCTAAGTGCTTGATCTTTGTATTAATAATTATAACAAACTAGTGGAGTGATTTCACAAAAAATAATTGAATATCAATTCAATAAAAATTTAAAGATATTCAAAATTTTGATAAATATACACTACCTACCTATCCCAAATAACGTCAATTTTTTATGTATGTTACTTAAGTAATTTCCTGAGTCACGAAAAAATCCAGGACAAAGAAGTGTGGTTATAAGGCAGTCTCCACTTTCTGACTCTGTTTATCGAAATTTAGGTAAATAAACTACGTATTCCGAACACTGGTCATCAGATTTTACTTTCATAAAAAAAATAAAAATAGCCTTTATTCACTAATTACTTCTAAATCTAAATTAATTCTAAGTCTAACCTAATGCTTCTAACAGTATTAATTCTTAATTCTAACATCAGCATCGGTTCTGGTTCTAATCAGGTTGTCCTTTGACATAGGCCTCCTCCATATTTCTCCACAAGAAACGGTCTTGTGCGGACCGGCGCCATTCTCGGGGCAGATCGTCTTCCCACCTTCTTGTTGGCCTTCCTCTATGCCTCTTCCCATCTCTTGGATACCAATGTATCACATCTTTTGACCACTTTTCTTTTGCTGATCTTACAGTGTGTCCACACCAGCGCCAATTCAGCCTTGTAACTTTCGTTGTGACATCTTTCACCTTGGTTGCCTTCCTAATTCTGGAGAGTCTCCATTTGTCTCTCAGCTTGATGTGTAACATGCTTTCCATCCCTTGTTGGCACACCTTTAGTCTTTGGCTGAGAGACTTAGGCAAGCTCCATGTTTGGCACCCATATGTGAGCACTGGTAGGATGCATGTGTTGAAGACTTTGCGCTTGTCTGACTTTGGGATTACTTCACTTTCGAGTGTCTCTTTGAGCGACCCATAGCGAGCCCAACTGTTGCTTACTCTTCTTTGAATTTCTTTCTCCATTTGTAAACTTGGGGATATTATTTGACCTAGTTAGACATATTCATCCACATAATCAATTTCTTGATTTTTTAACTAATAAACATTGACTTACAATTATATGGACGTCGGGTCCGCGCTAAAAAGTGTCCGCACTTGTAAGGCGCTAAAATCGTGTACAGAGCGCGACACTCCGCTTTAGTCTTCATTTGTTCTACTGATAGCGCGATACTGCGATGACATTACAATTTAAATTTCGAATAGGTTGACTTGGGACATTTTTTTCGTGGTTTTTGTATTAGACCCGTCGTCCATTTATTTGTAAGTCAATGCTAATAAAGGTTGTTTATGTCGATTTGTATTAGCCCTACTTTTGGAGAAATTCATTGTTAGCCCTGCTTTCTGGCTTTCTACTGCTAGCTGTTCGAGCATTTCCTGCAAAGTAAATGGCTCTTCTGCAAACAACACAATATTGTCTGCGAATCTCAAGTGTGACAAATGGCTTCCATTTATGTTAAGTCCTAGTTTGTCCCAATTCAACTGTCTGAAAATTTCCTCTAGGACAGCACAGAACATTTTCGGTGATAATGGGTCTCCTTGTCTTACACCTTTTTGAATATTCAATTTGTCTCCAATTCTTTCTAACTGTACATTTATTATATATTTTGGTCAGTATTCTAATATATTTCCGTTCAACACCTTGATTTTGGAGAGCTTTATATAAATATGAGAATGAGATAGGGAGTCAAAAGACTTGTTATAGTCTACAAAGGAAATATAGTATGGCTTCTTATATTCATTGTATTTTTCCACTACTTGTTTAACCACATGTATGTGATCTATAGTGAATAATCTGCTCTGAACCTGGTTTGTTCTCTGGGTTGTTCCTCGTCTAGGTACTTTGTGATTCTATTTAAGATAATTTTGGAAAAGAGCTTGTAGATGTTGCTCATTAGGCTTAAAGGTCAATCAATTTTGTCTCTATCTCCTTTTTTGTGTATTAGTACTATGGTAGATCTTGACCATTGTTCTGGGATAATTTCACTGTACAGTATCTCATTAAATAGGTTGCTTAGCGGTCGGAGTACAGTATCTAACGTGCCTTTTAGAAGTTCGTTTGTGATTTTGTCGGCTCCTCGTGCTTTTCCACTTTTCTGTGACAGGATAGCTTTTCTTGTTTCGTTCTCTAGTATACCCGGGATCGTCTCATTGTCTATGTCGTATTGGTTTTCCTCTTCGAGTATTGTTTCTTCATATTTATAGAGGTTTCGATAGAAGTCTGTAGCAATTTCGCTGATGAGTGGTCTTTTGGATGTTCTATTTTCCTTGCATTTTTTGTTTATACTTTTATACTTAATATATAACTAGAGTGGTCTTTAAGCTCCTTTAAAACTTTCTTTATTCCTCCGGTTAGTTCAATTAAATTTTTTATTTTGTTAATTCTAGTTTCTTTTCCGTGATTTTTTATGGCACTTGTTATGTTTTTGCTTATTGCTTCTATCTCTCTAGTATTGATTTTTCGGTTTTTGAACATCTCTCCTTTTTTCCATCAAAGTTCTCGCTCTCTGTCCAATGTTGTCGTTTCCGTTTTTAACGCGAGTTAGCTCTCTGACTAGATTAGACAGTATTTTCTCAAAGGTATTATATTTGTTTTGTAGTTTTTCTGTATCTTCAATAGTGGTGAGATTTTCTTTAAGTTGCAATCTAATATTGTCAGGTATTGGGAGGGTAGGGAGTTGTTAATATGTTTTCTTGATCTAGGTTTGTTATAAATATTCATGGTTGCTCTAACCATTTTGTGATTTGTATTGAAGTTCAGCTGGTTGACTACATGTACGTCATTGAAGTAGGAAGGCTGGTTAGTGATAATGAAGTCAATTTCATTTTTGTATTTCCCATCGGGCGATAGCCATGTCCACTGCCTGTTGTATTTTTTCTTAAAGAATGTGTTCATAATCTTCAAGTTGTACTTTTGTGTGAAGTCTACAACTTGTTTTGGATTCTCCGTCTTATTGTCTACCCATTTGGTTGTTGAATCTCCTATAAAAATCTTATTTTGTGTGTTTCCTCTATAATTTCTTGCAGAGACCTGTAAAATATGTTTTTTTCTTCGTCCCTAGCCTGTTCTGTAGGTGACACTTGAATTATGGACCAGGGATTTTTTGATTCTTTATTTTCAAATTCAGAATGGCAATCCTTTCCGATTTACTCGTGAACTCTATTATGTTTTCTTTTAGATACTTCTTGACAATCAAACCTACGCCGTGCACTCCCTTGGTCTCGCCTTTATAATAGAAGATGTAGTCTTCGTATTCTCTTACTTCTTCGCCCAGTCTACGAACTTCGCTAAGGCCTAGTATATCCCAGTTTACTTTTTGTAGTGCTATTTCTAATTCTTTAAGTCTTTCCTCTGTTCAAAGTGTTCTTGTTTATGGTGTTACAAATATAGTCCTGTCAGGTTGTTAGTATTTTACAAATAACCCTGTATAATAATACTTTAGCCCGTCATCATTCATGTAAAATTGTTAGGGACACATGGTTTCCCTAATGATGTTTAAACTGTAGCATTATTAAGCCACATCCACCCACATCACATCAGCCACGTCTTAACATGCAACCGTCAACCATTTAAAAAAAATGTATAAAAATTTTAAAAAAGTACCAAAATCGTTATGGACAAATCATGACAGATTCATACTAATTTGTTACAATTCCTAATTGGTAAAGAGTGAGTAAATTGTCTACACCTGCTATTTAACAAGAAAACAAAATTCTTATTAGTAGTCATTTATTTCTCCAGAATATCAAAAAAATGTACACCTTACGTATAACTTTTAAATTATTTTTTGTTTAGTTTTACTTAATAAATAATAATATAACAAATTATTACTTGTTACATTGTCAGTCTAATGCAAAGTCAAGTTTGTTTTAAAAGCAGTTAATTATACACTCAATGACTATCATTGTGATTACAGTTAATTAAAATTATGTTTATATCATACTTTTTATTAAAAAGGCACATGTATAAGACAAATGTTTATAAAACCAAAAACAAAAAATTTCACATAAAAACAACCTTAAAAAAAGGTCTACTTATTTTGTTATCTTTTTAGATACTTTTGTATCAAATAAAAATTTATTGGAAGAAATTAAGTAACCAGCCTTTTAAGTATAAATGCTATGTAGAAATGTTATTTACTTCTTTAAGACTAATTTACAGTTTTCAGTAACGTTGCAAGACTCAACAAGATTTAATTATAGTACTCGTATGTATGATTAATAGTGCAATTTCTATTGACTCCAAGTGCAACACTAACGCCGCTAAACCATTTTATGCTAGGTGCTATTTAAACATCGTATTTCACAAGATTGTGACATGACTAGAGATGGGTCATGGATAAATATCATTGGGATAAATACTCAGGATAAATATCCATTTTTACTCGATATTTATACAAAAACGTGGATAAATATTTTTAATCGTGGTTTATTATTTATATTTAGTAAAACGAAAGTATATTTTTAAGCTTAATTGTAAACATTGATACATTATATTGCTTGTTATCCTTGTTTTCTATATGCAGTAATAAAAAAAAAACTTTTAAGTACCGTAAATCCCTGTATTTTGCGTGAACCTAATTATTTTTTAAATACGTAGTTTATTTAAAAAAAAGAATTATCTCCACACAATATTAATCAGCTGTCTAACATTTTGTATGGATTTTTTTTTTCAAGTCACTAAGTTGGTCCACTATTGTACAGTTGTGCAGCTTCGTATATAGAATATAAGAGTTTTTGGTTGTTCAATATTTTATTTGAAAAAACTACAGACGTCATGGGAAATGCTTAAACGATAATTAATTCTAATACAAAGTAAATTCAATTCAAAATAACTTGGCCACTATTTTGCCAAACCCTACATTCGCTACCGAATAATTTACATAGTACGAAAGAGACGGAAAGAGCCGCTAAGGACAATTGTGTTCACACTTTGCATTAAAACATTTTGTGTACCTACACAATTATAAACATTTATTTTTTATATCATGTGTTTTAATTAATAGATTTGGTGTGTGAAATGTGAAGGAGAATCCTTGGGCTATTTCAAGTCCAAACATGATTTTATTTAGTACGCAGTGGACCCCAAAACCATAAAGTTAGGTCGCACTTTATTAAGCAGGATAGGTCAGCTCAATGGTTACAGTTCTATTGATATTTTTCTGTCAATCGAATTTTCTAAACCAGTCAACTTTTATGTTGATAAAAGTTTCGGTTAGGTTAAGTTAGGTTAAAGTATGTTGCATTTAATTTACATTCCTACCATTAGTGAGATGTTATCGACTCAAAACTTAGGTACTAAAACAGTAATGTTACATAAAACAATGGCAAAATGAGAAGTAATCGTACGTAATTATTTAATAAAAAATTAATTCTATTATAAAAACACAAAAAAATAATTATCCATGTTCTAGGATAAATACTCAGTGAAATCGGATATTTATCTATTGACAGATATTTATCGGGAAAAAACACATCTCTAGACGTGACAAGGCAAGTTCACTATAGCAAACATAACATAAGAGTGTTTGTTTGTCGCATTTAAGTTAGATTATAAACACCAGATTCTTCAGAGACCAAATTAATGAGAGAATGTCAAAACAATAGATCACATTTTATTGTGTACTGTATCATATTGTATTTCAAAGAGTAGGGTGGTTTAAAGATCTCGCGAATATCCAGCTTATTATTTGTTGTTGGTGGTGATTATCAATGGTATGTCAGTCTAGACCTTGTTGCATGAGTGTGTGAAGGTCTCTGAAGGCGGCGCCGAGGCGGCCCTGCAGTGTCTGTCGTTTGAGCAGGAACGCACGTACGTCCAGCAATAATCTGTGAATCTGCACGCACTTTGCATATCGCTCCTCACGCGGTATATCCACACCCAATGTATGAACTGGCGCACTCACATTAGCGCGAACTACTGACGAAAAGTTGCGCACTATTAACCTTAGCGCGTTGCAGCCACATTGCATATACCTAAGTAATAAGGAAAAATATTGTGTTTTTCTCGATTCAAACTTGATATTAAATATAATCTAGAAAGGTTTACTTACGATTCGTATTTGCTTTGTAATAAATCGTATATTTTAGGCAGCATCAGCAGACAAATGTCTAAATTCCAAAGTGATCTGAAATTGTTTTTACACATTATTGGTTTCTTTAGACTAACAATTTCGTATTATTATAATAGTATAATAATGGTAACTTACGGTTTGTGAGCCATCACATTAAGAATATCGAGAATCACAGATGTATCCTCCAAGGCGATAACGGATTCTAGGGCAGTTTTCAAATTTTTGTTCATTCTTACGGAGTGGAATATCTGAAATAAATATTAAAAGATATATTTAGCAGTAACACCAAAGTAGGCTTTGATAAATGCCTAATAAGGTCTAATACAGACAATTTTAACTAAGACTTTGCTATTGTATGTTTATATGCTTGTTCAATGCAATACTATTTTTTCTAAATATAGTAGCAGTAGAGCTCCTTGTGAAAGAGCTCGTCCTGGAAAGTATTGCCATCTTACCTATTTCTGCCTCCAAGCAGTCATGTGAGCATTAGTGCGTTCCGGTTTGGAAGGGTAAGGGTGTCACAGAGTGACGGGCGCTGAGCCAGTGCCCCACAGGTCTTTGCGATTTAAATCTCTGAGTGGCACTGCAACTTTTATGGATAGGCGTGTCGCTTACTACCAAGCGCACGACTTGTTCGTCCCGTTCGTAACTTGTTATTATTAAAAAACAAAACGGGAGGGGCCCTTACTTGCAAAGCGCGTTCTCTGGCAGTGAGAACAGCCATCATAGAGTCGTGTCCACGCATCATAACGCCGAGGACCTCCTGCTCACTGGGCTCAGCACCACCGACACGCGTCCCCCGCCCCGCCATGCCTACTGTTAAGCCACGCTGCAAAACAATACGATGTTCAAATTATGACAATCAAATACTGTATTCTCGATATCCCAGTAAATAGTTACTTTTGGACTCCGAAATCATGGAGCTAACTTTGATCCTTTCGGCGAATAATGACCAGGAGATCAAATGTGTACTTCTGTTTTATTAACAACAACAATATATTACATAAATAATAAGATAATAATAATATTATTATTGTCAACCTTTACTTTCTATGTCACGAATCTCCTAACCTAGTCAAAAGCTATAATATTTGTTATAGAAACCATGTCACATCTACGATGATTGCAACAAAGGAAACCTGGATTGTATTATACTTTTTAAACCTTGTACAGAGACTTTTCATCGATGTCTTATCATGATTTTATTTGTCCTGAACATAGATAAAGTGTTGTGCCTTAAAAAAAATTATGAATTATATGAATAAACTCACAGGCAAAAACTCATCAAGGTCAAGGCCTACAGGTCGGTCTGTAGCGAATGGCACAAACTCCAATTCGCGGTCATTTTCTGCTGTCTCAGCGTGATACATTTGCACGGCTTCTCGGCTTATGCTATCTACCCTACGTCTGAAAGAAGTGAAAATTTTAATAGGTATATTAAATATTCAGGGTTTCCTATTTTGTTTTATTTTTTTTATTTTTTTTTGGAAAACTTACAGCTAGGTAACAAGAATATAATGGTAAGTATAATATACGCTTGACAGACAAGTGCATGTATGTTGAGGGCTAATTAAAAGTTTCCACAGATAATTATTGAGCGATAGAAACAAGGTATAGTAAGTGGACGACTTAAAAAAACATAATAAATCAAATAACGAAATCAAATACGTGACAGTTATAGCAGCTACATATTTGAAGAGAAAAATATATAATTGAGTAAGCGTTTTGGCTTACTTGTACTGGTGTTGAACAAGTCTACCTCACTATATTTATTAACTAAGGAGTTAAATGAGCGAGACGCTCTATTTAAAGATGTATTTTGCCTATAATTTGTCCTAACCATAGGAACGTAAAGTGTAATAGGATTTCTCAGTGTAACCTTGATTGTACGTAGTATTATTTTAGTTTCCTATGTACTCATATCTGTTTAAGCGCATCGAGTATATAATCAGAAATAGAGACGAAATAAGGGCCCTCCATCCCTGGCAACTCATCACGCAAATGGGTCATATCGCTTTTAAATATCAACTGTCGTTTGCACTGAAATCACAAATTAGAAAACTGAAATAGTACAGCGCCAACAACTTTGACCTGTTTGTACGTCTCCGTATATTCCAAAAATATTGTGTATTTATTGTAATAAAGATAATATCTCTAACTACGGGGGGCTGTTCCATTCCGTGATGTGGGAAAAACAGCAAAATATCTAATAACAAAATCGGAATCACATTTCATTGGTAATTAAATATGTAATTATTCAATTTTTGTCTATTATAGCAAAGCTCAAGTTAATCCGGTCAATTTAAAATGAAACGACCGACGATACCCGTCAATCCCGTCAATTGTTTCAAATTCGGGCTGGCCAATCGGAGTGCAGTTGTCACCGTAACGATTTGGTAGAATAGTTTTCAAACAAATTAAATAACATTTCGTCTCTATTTCTGGTTATATACTCGATGTTATAGCGCATCAAAGTAACGAAAGTAAATGCAGTAAGCGCGCACGCGAAAAACTGACGTTTTTAAAACTGAATCAATGGAGTACCTTGTTTCACTAGGTGTCTTGCTAAACGATAACGACCTAGGTCCCAGGGATGGTGGGCCCAACGCCATGTCGCTATTGCTCTGACGAAGACCAGAGGCTGCAAGAAGATTACAATCATAATTATGAAACCATCTAAACATACATACTAATACGTAATATTATAAATACGAAAGTAACTCGGTATATAATATTAGGGGTTAAAGTATGAAATTGCCGTTTCGCACTGAAAAATTAAAACAATTTTTTTTAAGATTAAATATATTTGTTTAATCAAAGTTTTTTCCCTTGTTGTCTATACATTTCTGCCATGTAATCGGAAGGTCATTTAAACCTTTGCGATAGAACTCTGGAGACCTGGACTCCACAGCTGTGTGAAGGGATTTTTGTACTGCTTCCTGGGAATTTTATTTCCACACAAAAAAAAATCAAATTGCGGGAAAAAATGGTAGTTGGTCGGGGCGAGGCCCGACGAATATGTAGGATGATGAATAATTTATATCTGCAGGTCTTGTAGTAGTAAAACTGTTTCTCAAGCAGTGTGAGGTGTTGCGTTATCATAGAGCAATAACGGTGAAGCTGTTTTGCTGCGAGTTCCGTCGTCATTATTCAAACGCCATATGTCATATTGTGGGTATGCTAACATTAAACCATGACGTTTCGTGGTAGTTTCATACGGATCGGCTTCCATCATTACCTTCAATTCAACGTTATTTACATTTGTGACTGGTCTTCCTCGTGGTTCTTTCTTCAAGTCGTAATTTGCCGTATTGCCGGCGTTTGCCGTATTTGCGTATGCCGTATCCTCTCCAAATACAGCATTGACAGTTTCTGCTACGTTAACTCCATGTGGAAATTCGTATTCGAAAATTAGGTACTCAGATTTTCGCTGTATCCATCTTCACGTTAAAAGCTGAATGTAAAAACAATTGAAAGTCGAACAATCAAATATCATGTTTTTTAAGTTAAGCATGTTTTACTTTTCGCGTGAAAAACGTTTCACTCTGAAATCGGACACCATACAGGTTTAATTTTAATTTAAAGTGGCCAGTAAAATAAATCGGCAATTTCATATTTAAACCCCTATTATTAATGAATTTTAGTATAGAGATAGTTTAAGAAGGCAGCCTACTTTTTGTCACAAAAATAAATCTTATAGGGGGTGAAATAGGCGTGAAAGTTTGTATAGAGAACCAATAAAACTGAAATTAGTATAGTACAGTAGGCCACTCGAAATACTTCTATAGTGACCGTCAGGATGGCTGGTCGCCTGTGGTATCGGGCACTGAGTGTATATTCAAGAATTGCTACCTATTTGCTCCCTTTTTTAAATAATCGCTACCTTTGATATATTCTGAGAAATTAAAAAAAAAATTGACTAGCCCTTCTGATATCAGGATTTTTCAGATGTATGTATTACCAGTAATTGCTACCTATTTGCTACTTTCACGAATTAAAGGTATACGCTTATTATCTACATTTATTAAAAAAATATTGCGATTGAAAATTGTCTGATTAAATTTAAAAAGCAAAAGTTTTTAGTGCTCTATTGCCATAATATAAAGAGCAGGCGTTGGCACTTTTCACACAAAAATTTTCAATCGTTTAAGCCATCCTGACATCAAAAAGGCTGCTCAATATTTTTTTTTAATTTATCAGAATGTATCAAAGGTAGCAATTATTTAGAAAAGGTGGCAAATAAGTAGGTAATAGGTAGTAATTCTTGAATATACACTCGGTACCAGAAGCCACAGGCGACCAGCCATCCTGACGGTCACTTCTTCTACGCAGACGAAGTCGCGGGCACCAGCTAGTCGAAGATATAATTACAGTGAACCCGTAATTAAAAATGGTGTAAATTTTTTGGATATTACCATTACTATTAGCTTGATATTGTAATTACAAAAGGTCCTTGATTGTACCTTTGTAACTTCGAACTAGGTAGTGGTCTGTTTGTTTTTCGGGGGCCTTGAATATCGTTTGTATTTTTATTGTACAGTCAACAGAACATCAAGCTACACATTGACGTATCTTGTTCCGTTGCACTGGAGGCGATTTTCGACCAAAAATGTGTAGTCTGATGTGCTGCTGTCCGTACTTTATTACTTCTTTTAAAATTAATACCCAAATTTTATATATATTTAAATTACGTTTATCAATTATATTTTGATATTCCTATTTGTATTGTCTCCTTATTTTTATATCAATAGTAAAAATTGTGTAAAACAAAAAATTCAAGTCAAGGTATTAAAAATAGAGTGGTCAGTGTTTATACCTACTCGAAATGAAAGTAAAGTTTATTCTAAAATGACCCCTTAAACATTTCGCATTTATGTCTTTGGCTCAACATAATCAATACTTATGCTTTTTTTTATAAAAATAAATTAAGTGCGCATTTGACCTCCATCTCACCTCAAGGAAAGTGACGGTGAGGTCGAGCATACACATCTAAATAGCCTATTCACTCTCGCTTTGAAAAGGCCCAAGTTAATGCGTTCAGGGAATAAGTCTGCGGGTACGGAATTCCATTCCATAGATTTTAGCCATATAAATGTGGAAGCGTAACGCTTCGTGCCTATCTTTGGAATCCAAAATATAGTGGAGGAACCATAGCCCACGTCTAGTCCCCCGATGATGGGAAGGAGAAGGCGAAGTTAAATCGTGCAATTCTATCGTACACTCTCCGTGATAAATCCTGTAGAATACCGATAAGCAGGCAACTTACGGCGGTGTTCAAGGCTCAGTAGCTTCGCCTCTACTGAATCCGAGTCACCTACAAGCCTCTTAAGTGCTAACTTATTTAACCGCCTCTGTGGCCGAACGGTTACCACGCAGAGGTCCCAGGTTCGCTTCCCAGGCCGGGAGAAATACTTGTATGCCCTACACTTATTTATCTAGTGAGTTTGGGTGTAATTTGTGGTTGTGTATTTGTGTATCCATGGCACCCGCGTACACAACCATGACACAGGGTTTCCCTAGTGCGGGGCTATGTTGATTGTGTGTGTCTGTGTGTGTTTCTGTTTGTGTGTGTGTGTCTGTGTGTCCGTGTGTGTGTCTGTGTGTGCGTTAGTGCGCGTGCGCGCGTGTGTGTATTAAGGTAAGCTTTAAATTTATTTTATTTTATTGAAACATAATGTAACCAGAACGTTTGATGTTACTTACTCATTTCACAGTTCCGTTTAGTTTCTTTGTAAGAGTTATGGCGGTTAAGTGAAGCTGAGAGCGGGCTGGCGGCGTAGTCTCGAACGGTTGCGGTAGGTGCAGTGGTGAATGTGCTATTGTCTTTAGTCCCATCTGCCCATAGGTTAGAAAATGCTGTATAAGCTGTTTGATGTCTTGGTTATAGCGGAAGGCTGATATTAGGCTTTTGTAAGTAGCCCTAAAGCAAGATTAGGATTAACTAAAAATGACTTTATTTTTGAACTCTTTGATTTTAGAATTTATCCACTTAAATGATATGTTATATTTAATTTTCATACAGATTTATAAAAAAGCAGGGATAGCCTGGTACTGGTAAACGCTTACTTCCTATATAGGACCTTAAGTAAGATTTGAGCCACATAACTCTTAAGTAGTAAGTCTCTAGTTCGATCAGTACAGCAGACAATGGTCAAATGTTTTCCATCGAGGAGACCCCTGCTCAACAATGGAACTGTGAGCGACGATGGGGTTGGCGGTGATATAGTTACAATCTCTCATTTCGTTAATAATTTCACGATTGCAATTTGATAAAACTAAACGGTTAGTAACGGAGGAAACAAAAAACAACTTACGATGCAATATCTCAGGTTTTTTATCAAAACTACTGTACTCTTTAGTAGAAGTGGGTATACGTGAGGTTTGTATTTCAGTGCGCTGACGCTGCGGCGGCGAGGGCTGCGGCTGAGGGCGGGTGAGTTGTGCGGGAGACGGAGACTGAGGAGGTTCGCCCAGCATTAGATCGCGGAGCGACGTCGCTGCTGTATGCACCAAGTTCGTGGCATCTTGATCTAATATAACAAAACACAGTATTATTTTTATTTAAATGAAAATTAGTAAATAATCTTAATGTGCATGGTTTTGTATTAGTGTATACGTACTATTACAAAAACATTGGACATGGGTCTGACCATTCAGCTGACGGGGTACACCTTTAATGTTATCAAAGTGCAAATAATATTAACCTTCAATGACCTGTGTGTACGTCTCCATATATTCCAAAAATATTATGTATTTATTGTAATAATGATAATATCTCTAACTATGGGGAGCTGTTCCATTCGGTGGTGTGGGCAAAGCAGCAACACATCTAATTACAAAACAAACGGAATCATATTAATCGGTAATTAAATATGTAATTTTTCAATTTTCGTCCATTAAAGCTAAGCTCAAGTTAAACTGGTCAGTCAAATGTATCGAATTCGGGCTGGCCAATCGGAACGCAGTTGTCACCGTTATGATATGGCAGAATAGTTTTCAAACAAATTAAATAACATTTCGTCTTTATTTCTGGTTATATACTCGATGTACCAGCAAAAGCTACTACTAGCTATAACTAAGGTGCATGGCTAGTACAGTAACAATGTTAATGTGATGCGTTTATACCTGGGATGGGGTAATCGTCAGCCGGTGGAGGAGTTCGATTCACTGGAACAAATAAGGAAATATGAAGATTAATTAGTTAAGTAGATTAGTTACATAAGATTATGCCTTAAGGGAAACAGCGTTTTTTATTTTACCGCCTCTGTGGCCGAACAGTCATAATGCTGGTCTGCCTCTATACAGAGGTTCCAGATTAGACCATGAGACCACGACCATGATTTTTAATAATGATAAACGATCTGCCACTGTCTGTTCGTTATTCTAAATGCCTCATGTTCGCGGACGATCTAAAACTGTTCACGTCAATAAACGGGGCTGACGATTGCAAGGCGCTTCAGCTGGATATTGACGCGGTTGCTGGGTGGGCTGACAGAAATCGTTTGTTCTTTAACGTGTCAAAATGTAAGGCAATCACTTTTACTCGCAGCCGAACACCGTTATGTTTTACCTACCATTTGTGTGGGACACCAATGACGAGAGTCCAAACGATTAATGATCTTGGATTGACAATGGATTCCAGGTTAGACTTCCGACAGCATATTACTTCCATCTGTAGTAGAGCTAGCAAAACACTAGGGTTCATTATGAGGGTCGGTTCCGAGTTCAAGAATCCTGGAGTTGCTGTGATGCTATATAAGTCCTTGGTTCGCAGTCGACTAGAGTACAACTCTATAGTCTGGGATCCCTCGGAAGCAAAATATGAAACTATGTTGGAACGAATCCAGCGTAAATTAGCACGTTATCTTTACATGCGACTCTACGGGTATTATCCGTTTTTGTATCCGTCTCTCTTTGTTAATGGCATGGTGGGGCTGGATACACTTGCATTAAGAAGGAAGGAAACGCTACTGTCCCATTATGTTCGATTGCTCACCAACCGAATTTACAACCCGGAGGCGCTGGCGCGCTGTGGCCTGGTTGGAGTGCCGTCGCGGTACCTAAGCGCGCGCGCGCGTCGTCCGCATCGTCTCTTCGCAGACAGTGGCGCCGCATCGCGCACGAGAAGCGCTGATAACGCACCTACTCCACGCGCGATCGCGCTGCTAAACGCATTGCTCACCCAGTATCAGGATTTAGATTTAGACATATTCTTTGACAAACAGCATGTTATTCATCGCGGGATACTGCTGTTCTTGAACTACCTATCGAGTACTGCTGCCGTGTGAGTGAATGGCATGCTGTGCGCAATTTTAATTTTCACTATTTATTTTGTTTTCGATGTTATTTTATTCAATCTATTATTTTATTTTCCTTATTAATATGTTCAATTTAACTTGTAAGCGCTTTGGTGTTAATACTGTAAGCTTCCAAGTGTTTATAAATAAATAAATAAATAAATAAATAAATAAATGAGAAAGACGACACAAAGCTGAGTGGATGACAGATTCCGTAACGACACTGCATGCACACTTTACGGCTTATTTATTAGCTTTATTATTTATTGTTATAGTTATTTACTCCCTGTTTGTGTGTTATTTGTGTTTATTATCTAATTGTTATGCTTTTTTAAATTTTATCTCGATTTTCTTCATATTATCATGTGCCCTAATTCTTAAATGTATATGTACTCTGCTGTTTCTTTATGAAATAAAAATATTTCATTCTTTCTTTTTTCTTTCATGTGTGTGTCCATGGCATCTGCGATACAGGGTTTCCCCAGTGCGAAGCTGAGTGTGTGCGTTAACCTAACCTGTGAGGCACAGTACTGACAGGACGACCTTTCTGCTGCGTCCGTGTATACCGACGAAGTTGCTGTACCTATTGCGACTACATTACTCTACGAAGTCTAAGAAGGTCGTGGAGTACATCAGGCTAAAAGCCAAATACACCCAGAGGGTCGAGCGATTGGAGGCCCGCCACAACGTGAATTTTAATTCGTTTAAGATTGAGAGATTAGTGAGAGTACCGACGAACTTCTGCCGACCTTCATGAAGGAAAAGTTTTGCCCGAAGGGTGTCATATATCGGCGACTTCGCGGCCAGCTACCTGACACCAGATTGCGCCACACGTCGCCGCAGGTGCATTTTCGTGTAGATTAGTTATTTAGTTCATTATATTGTATGTTAGTTAGTCCTTAAGGCATATATTATTATGAGTCAAGTGGTCTGAATTAAATGACAAAAGAAATAAACTTATTGTTAATAATTTTAATAATATTTCGTTTCTATGAGATTAGTAAAAGGCCCGACACGTCGGTTTGTTAGAAAAATATTAATACGCGATTTAGATCCGAAAAAATAGTTTAATTTCCTATGTGTAACAATCGCGAAAACCTTAGAACTTAATATTTCATTCATTAATTCATTCAATATCTTTAATATATTATGATTCAGTACCGCTACCATGAGTTTTCAGGGACAGTTGTCGCAAGCCACTACGTAAAATATTTGCATTCAGAATGTTAGTTTTCTCTGTGACCGCTAGAGACGCTGTACTATTTTTCATACAAAAGTGTGAAGTTACGCGGTCGTTAGCGACAACTGTCCCTGTAATCTCGTAGTTGAGGCACTGTATAGTAAAACAAAATGTTGTAAAACAGTCAGTTTGACGTCCTCGGTGGCATAAAGGCGGCGACTGACCAGATCATCTCGGCGTAACTAACATTCGCGGCGAGCATGTTACGATGCGGCTTAACAGATCGACCGGTATCATTGCTCCTATTGAACTCTGCGCTCGGTGGCATTCGCATTCGCAGCCGAAATGTCGAATGACAAAGTCGTGCTTGAGAGGGGTCCCATAAAATTGTACGTTCTTGTCATTTACCAATAGAAAACAGAGTTTTATCCCTGTCCCACTCCATTGTTTTAAAACGAAAACAGGCGATGATGCTCGATACATACGCACTCCCGACAATTGTTCGAGCTGTACTGACCTAAATTAGGGCATAACACTAAAAGGGTCCCGACATCAACGCGAGGGCCGGTACGCTATACTGACCACGCGAATACTCATGTTACGTTACGCCGAAATGATCCGGTCAGTCGTCGCTTTAATGGTTTGCACTGTGGGCGCTGGATGAGGTCCCGAGTTCGATTCACCGGTGGGACGAATTTGGGAACTGTTATTTTCTAAACTGGTTCTGGTCTCTGTGTTTTGGGTAGTGCCCCGGAGAGAATTTCATTGTTCTGGTGCTCATATTGAGTCCAGGTAATTTTATTGGTGTGATTTGTGAGTTGTTGTTTGTGAGTGAGATTTTTTTAATTTGCTAGACGCACATTAAAAAAAATCTCGAAATGTTTGTGTATGTAATGTAGCGTAGTGTTGGGCAAAATTTAGTTGTTCAGGCAATTAAATATTGACAATTAATTAATTGTCAATAGCGAAGCAGCAATTAACAATTGATAAATCAATCGTTAATCGCGTATATCTACAATTAACAATTAATCAATATTCAATCTTTTCAATCATTTTGTGAGTGATACACCCAACCCCCTAACCCAACCACTAACCCACTCATAGCCCACCCCTAACCCACCCTGTAACCCACCACCTAACCTACCCCCTCACAAACACCTCACTCACCTCCTCACCCACCCACTCACTCAAAATCGTGCACACCATCTTGGATTTAGAAATGAGTGCCATATTCGTAATGACACTTTTATTCGGTAGTTTCAATTGTAGTTTTAATTGTTACTGTCAATTGTTTCTTAGAACAATTTAAAAAATTAATTTATAGATTTTTTAGTCTGATTGAATTTCTGATTGAAATTCAATTGATTAACGCCCAGCACTGAGCGTATACATGGCTGTTTGATACCATTCAATATTCTTACTATCTATTAAATTGGTGTTTGTTCAAGGGACTAACAAGCACGATCTTTAAAAAAAATTCAAATACATACAAGATCTAGAAGGGCGGAATATTTCCGTGTAATCATGAATGTTCGATATGACAGCGCCGGAGTCTTCATCAGCTTCCGTTCCTGAGGCAGACTCTTCCGCAGTTTTCTCGTCTAGAAGAGTCGGTCGGTGCATCACTATTAGGAAAAAAATATATATTTTTATTTTATTTGGGGAGGTAACAGCTTCCTTTATCACTAGTACAAATATACAAGCATAGAGTTAAAGGTCAGTTTCAAAATTCTCTACGTCACTCTTAGCATAAGGTTGTCACTTTATAATGTCCAGACAGTGCAGTCTACTCAGTTACAATTATATATTTTAAAAAAACTGGTCTTGTGAGTAGCTTCAAACAATTGAATTAAAATTGGAGGCCTTAAGCTCAATGAGCTCATAACTGTATAAATTTAAAAAAGATCTTGTGCAACAGTTCGTACATACATAAATACACACATTATATACAGCGTGTCCCAAAATTCAACGATAAGCGGGCGCTGGAGGGTGGACCTGCGCATAACTACTTGAGGAAAAATAAGAAAAAAAATTTATACCATTTTTTTTTTAAATTGTTATTCTTCGAAAATTTACTCCCTTAATGATATTTTAAATCACCACGACCACATTTTTTCAGATATTTCTGATGTTTTAATTTTAACGGCCACCTAAGTAGTACTGCTGTCTACCACAACTCTTAAAATTCCCAGAATGCCTGCAATTTTACAAAAAAATCCATCAAAATATTTTTTTTCCTTGAAATTTTGAAATATTTTTACCTGCAGTCGACTTTCCCTCATCGTTTTGTAAAAAAAAAGTACGGACACCACTGCGGCAAGTATTTTTAAAAATTGACGCAACTAACCAAGATTCCAAAATGGTATAATACTTTAAGAGAACTAGGCGCAAAAAAATATTGGTACCATTTCTAAGAAAGACTAAATTTCTTGATTATTGTTCTTATTCATAATAATCACTTTCACTATGTGCCGAAAAAAGGTTATGTGTTGCAATTTCTTGGAATTTCAATGGCACGTGTGCGTAGTCGATGCAATTTAGAAATTAGAGAGAGAGAAAAATACCGAGAGATATACGTTAGAAAGAGATAGATAGATGCCCTTTGTTGAATAACAATAAAGCAGGTACTTAAAAAAAATGTTGCAAAAAATATTCGTACCATTTTTAAGAAAGACTAAAATTCTAAATTATTGTTCTTATTTATAGTAATCACTTTTACTATTAGCCGAAAATAGGTTTTTGTTGCTGAAAAATGTTGAATAAATCAAAACAAATGGTATTTCTTCATTTAATTTATTTATTGCTAAATTAACATTATAGTAAATGTTCAAATTGTTTGCCACCAGCATTAATACATGCACGATATCGCCTTAAAAATCATCGTTTTATCTGTCGTGCATATCTTCTACCGTTGATATGAGCCGCAGCTTGATTGACTTTTTGCCGAAGCTCGTCCAATGTTGTGATGGGTTTTGCGTAAATCCTGTCTTTGAGACAACCCCAATAGAAGAAATCCATGGGGTTTAGGTCGGGTGAACGGGGTGGCCATATGATAGGACCAAGTCGCCCGATCCAACGCCCAGGATATTCTTGGTTTAAGTATTCTCGCACAGGACGGGCGTAGTGAGCTGGGCAACCATCATTTTGAAACCACATGTTTTGTAGATCACTTAAGGGGATGTCTTCTAATAATTCTTGCAAATCATTTTGTAAAAAGTTCAAATAACTATCACCATCTAAGTTTCCTTGTAACTCAAAGGGCCCAATCACTTTTCCATTTAATATGCCTGTCCATAGGTTAACCTTGAATTGATATTGGGATTTGTCTTGTCTCATCAGGTGCGGATTTTCATTGCTCCAACTATGTAAATTGTGAAGATTTAAATAGCCATCTTTCTTGCAGGTTGTTTCGTCCGACCATAGAACTTTGTCTAGGAACTGGGGATCTTCCCGGTGTTTTTGCAGCATCACACGGCAAAATGCGATCCGTAGTGGATAGTCCCAAGGCAATAACGTCTGCACTCGCCTATAGTGATATGGGTGGAGCTTGTGACGTTTCAGAATTCGATGTGCCGTACTTTTTGGGATTCCCGTAGCTGCTTCTATGGCATGTACTGAGGTAGTTGCATCAATGTTTATTTCATTGAGAACTTCTTCATCGCATTCCGATTTCAGTCTTCCAGCGTTTCTTCTGGCAGATGGAAAATGACCCTCCGAAAACGCTCGATGCACATTCAAAAATACTCGATAATCCGGGTAACTTTCAGTGTTTGGGTACCTTTCTCGATACAATCTGCTGGCAGCGTTAGCTTTGCACCGACATTCTCCATAAATGAGGTGCATGTTAGCGTATTCCACCGGTGTGTATGGTAGCGGCATGATTTTTTTTTTTTTTTTTTTAAATACATGACAGGCAAATGACTCCACTCCACCTGATGTTAAGTGGAAAGTGGTATCCAAACGCGAAGGAACCTAGTGCAGCGATGAGACCCTCGCTGCACTAGCCACCTCCACCCTGCCTGCCTACAATATGCCTCTTCACGCCTCGTTTAAAGGACCCCATATTATAAGAGGGAGGGAAGACATGTGCCGGAAGGGAGTTCCATTTGTCAACCGTGCGGCAGAGAAAGGAGCCACCGAACCTTTTAGTACGCGATGGAATGCGGCAGGTAGTGAAACGGTGACTACGAAGGCCAGCACGCGTGCTTCTGAGCAGGAACGGGGAAGGGGGGATGAGGTTGAACAGCTCTTCAGAGCACTCACCATGGTACATGCGGTAAAAGGCGCTAAGCGATGCAACATCTCTACGCAGTTGCAGAGGTTCAAGGCGTGATGAGACCTCTTCGTCGCCTATGATTCGAGTAGCACGACGCTGTAATTTATCCAAGGCATCGAGTAAGTACTTGGCGGAGCCGTCCCACAAGTGCGAACAATACTCAACGCAAGACCGGACCTGTGTTTTGTATAGCAGGCATAACTGGTCCGGCGTGAAAAAACGTCGCACCTTGTTCAGGACTCCGAGTTTCCGTGAGGCTGTTTTGATCACAGATTCGATGTAGCTCCTTGGATTCAAATCACAGCAGATTTCCATACCGAGCAAGGTAAACCTGCTCTGAGGTGAAAGTGCTGTGCTCATCAGAGAAAGCATGGGAAGGAACGGCGACAATTTTGTTGTTAACGCGCAAACCTGTGTTTTCTTGGCGTTGAACTCAACAAGATTTTTAGATCCCCATGCAGAGATGAGGTCCAATATCCTATTGAGCTCAACGACAAGATCAGATTGCTCTCTGTCAGTATCGGCGCGCCCAGCTGCGGGGAATCCGTGATATCCCCCATGAACAGTGCTATCATCTGCATAACAATGAATATTCCCAAGTGGAAGCATATCATTGATATGCAGAAGGAAAAGCGTGGGAGATAGGACGGATCCCTGCGGTACGCCGGCGTTCACATTCACGAACCTCGAAATGCTGCCGTCAGAAACGACGCGAATTCTCCGCTCACGAAGGAAATCGGCAATCCAGCTGCATAACTGGGCTGGCAAACCGTACGCCGGGAGCTTGGAGAGAAGAGCTTTGTGCCAGACCCGATCGAACGCTTTGGCTATATCGAGGCTAACAGCCAACGACTCGCCACGTTTGTCTATAGCCTCACCCCAAATATGCGATAAGTACGCTAGAAGGTCACCCGTTGATCGTTTCGGACGAAACCCATACTGCCGATCATTAATTATGGAGTGATCTTCTAGGTATTGGGTCAGTTGTTTGTTAAGGATCCGCTCTAAAACCTTGCATATTATGGAAGTAATGGATATGGGACGGTAATTATGCGGGTCTGATCGGTCGCCTTTTTTGGGAACTGGTTGCACATTAGCCTCTCTCCAAGAGTCCGGCACACGACCTGAAGAGAGTGACAGACGATACAGTCGCGTTAGCACGGGGGTCAACTCAGCTGCGCAGCTCCTAAGTACAATCGCTGGGATACCATCAGGACCACTAGCTTTCCGGACGTCGAGAGACTGCAGCTGCGTACGCACATCGCATTGTCTGATACGAATATCAGACATCGTGTAGCCACAGTGAGGTAGAGTTGGTGGCTGTGCGTTACAGTCGTCGAGACAGGAGTTAGCCGCAAACAGATTGGCCAGGAGGTCGGCTTTATCTTGCGGCTTGTGGGCTAGATTGCCGTCAGAATATCTCAGCGGGGGCAGTGAGGGCTGGCAGAAGTTCGACGCAACGGCTCTGGCCAGACGCCAGTAACTCCGACTACCAGTGGGATGCGTCAGGAGTTCTTGGCCAACTCGTGCGACGCGCTGAGCATCCGCTCTGATGTACGCTCTTTTGCAAGACCTGGTGGCATTATTGTAGGCTGTTTTAAGTGAGTTCGTATTGGGATCGTCTGAAGCTAGACCCCTGATCCAAGCGCGGTATGCAGTCTGTTTGTTCTCAACAGCCACAGCACACTCGCGGTTGAACCAGCGGTTGCGCCTCCCTTTACTGACGAGATCCGAATGCGGGATGTAGTATTCCATCCCGATTAAGATCTCATCCGCAACGGCAGTCGCGCTAGCTGTTGGATCCACCTCACTAAAACAGCGCTGCCGCCAAGGAACGGATGCAAAATAGTCCCGCATACCGTCCCAATCTGCCGACGCATAATGCCAAATGCGGCGTTTAGCCACAGTAGGTGGTGGTGGCAGTAACGTTGCCACTTTAGTGGATATCAAGCAGTGATCCGAAGTACCCAGAGGGGCTTGGACCTCCACCCGATATCCAGCCGGGCGAGACGTCAGCAGAAGGTCCAACAAAGAGGGCGCGTCACCAACCCTATCTGGAATCCGGGTGGGCTGGTTTACCAGTTGGGTTAAACCGTGTGTGAGAGCGAATGTGTGGGCAGTTCTTCCAGCATGGTCAGTTTTAGAGGAACTTAACCACGACTCGTGGTGAGCATTGAAGTCCCCTAAAAACACCAATTCCGCTGTAGGAAACTGCGCCTGCGCGTCGTCTGCCGCCCGAGTAAGGTGGTCTATGAGACGAGTTGTCTCCATGTCGCCGTGGTGGGATCTGTAGAGGCAAATGTAGACACGGCAATGACTGCCCAGGTCAACATGTACCCCAAGGATGGAGAAGGAGGGGTCCTCCAAATGACGCAGACGGCGACAGCAAACATCTGCCCGGACAAACAAGCAGACCCCAGCTTTCGCTTTGAAGGACTCTTCAAGCATATAGCCAGGGTAATTCAAGTAGCTGCTGTCAGCCGGGCAGAGTATTTGCGTCTCCATAAGGAACAGCATTTCCGGTCGAGCCGTCTCAAGATGTTGGTGGACGGCGTGGATGTTACTGTGGAGTCCTCGAATGTTCGTGAACTCCACCTTAAAGAGCGCTTTAGTGGTGGGGGTGTGCACCGCTGTACGACCGAAATTTGTACTTTGCGCTAACATGTTGGAGGGAAAAAGAGGCGTGAAGCGAGAAAACAGTGCCGCGACACAAGCGGTCAAATCGCGGGGCCTGCTTCCCCAGAGACTTGCCTACAGACAAGTTGCGCTGATCCGCCGGACGGAAGGGCCCCCGAACCCCCCCGGGAATGGCCGCCGGGACCCCACCTCCCGGTCACCAACCGGCACGTCTAACCACACCGAGATTATGCGCGGCATGGTGAGGCAGCCTCACGAGCTGGTTAAGCACGCTTGGGCCCCTGTACTGTACCGCGGGCGGCCAGCGGAATAACCGTTTCTACGGGTCTCCCTGGCCGGCGGGTCAATGCAGTTGTCCTGGCACTGGTTCGGCGGAAGCCTCCACAGACCACAAATGTCGCGGCAGCGTTGCCTCGGGCTCTGGTTGTACGCTGACTGATCCCGGAACGCATCCGACTATCGAACACTTGGCGGGTTTTCTATTATATTAATATTATATAATAGGTATTTTTCTACTATATTAATATTGCACGACTACTTGTAATGATTAATTGAATGGAATACGTGTATTCCGTTCAATCAATCCATTTAGCGCGGAAGGAGGTTTCCCACCACTAAATAGTTGTTATAACGTCATGGGGGATACATAAAATGTGTCACGCTCGGTTTTCATATTGCTGTACTTGCGGCGGCTATCCAGATATATGTCTGTGATTGTGTATAAAACAAAAGGAAGCAAATCTAACAAAACAGAGGGAATATAACGAAAGACATGAAAATTGTTGACTTACTTTGTTTAGGCGGTTTCTCTTTGGAAAAACTCTTCCGGACACTTTGTCCTTTCTGGAACGGTGATAGTTCCCTGACGACGGGCGGCGACACCGGAGGTGGCCCGCCGAACGGGTGCACTTTAGCGAGATCAACTACTGATAATACCACGTAAGTGGCGTGGAACGATCCCACAATCTGCAAACAGAGTATTAAAATTTGTTTGGTTTATTTGTACATGTTTCATTTCATTTTATCGATAAATTGGGAAAGAACGAGTTGTAATGGTATATTTTATTGTTAAAATTATTTATTACTGTAATTGGGTTAAATTGTAATGCTCTTTCGATATATTTGCTGAAAAAAGGAGGAGGTTCTCAATTCGACTGTATGTTTTTTATGTAGGTATGTAAGTTACGCGATAACTCCGGTATTTGTAAACCGATTTTCATGATTCTTTTTTTTCGAAAGAGGATACCTCCATAGTGGTACCATTTAATTTTGAAGAAAATCATCCACCTCTAAGAGTAGCTGTTCACGCATGAAGATTCATTTTTATAAATAGCGCCTAAATTTTATCATAAGGAGCAATTATTTTAATGGTTGATTTTGCTATTCTCCAATTCAAGGCGTTTTTCTCTCAATTTACTTTAAGTAGTTAGAACCTATTTTTATTATCTCCTGTGTCAAGTCCCGTATAGTGGCGAACTAGGGGATGAATCCGGGTTTGCTCACATTCCGGTAACCGATTTCAATAAAACTTGGTAATTATATGTAATTCCACGTACTTTTGAGGTCGGTTTTTTTAGCACTACGTACTGAAATTAAGTTATTTGCCAAAAAATGGTTTTTGTTATAAACATAATAAACATGTGAATCAAAAAAATTATGAATTTCTGGTTTGCTCTCGCTATGTGAACTTTGTTGTTTGTGGAAGTATCATTATCATTGTTTGCTTTACGTTTAGGGCATGCATATGATCTGATCACAGGCTATGTCACTCGAGGATGTGAATCACTAGCGCAAATATTGTTGTGTAATGACCAATGATCGGAAAAAGGTGTTCCACATACATAGATACATGTATAGACGTAGCTACAAGGAGCGACTTAGAGTTATTAAAACCACCAAATATTAATTAATTACTTTTTCGAATTCCGGATTTCCGGAAATGGTTTTACTGCATCGTAGAACAAATTACATTAGAAGGATATGTTTCTCGTAATGGAGGAAATGAAACAGTTTTTTTTATGACACCAAGTGACGGGACGAACAAGTCGTGGGCCTGGTGGTAAACGACACGCCTGTCCATAACAATTGCAGTGCCACTTAGAGCTTTAAATCATAAAGATCTAAGGGGCACTGCAATTGCGCCCGTCAGTTTCGTGTGACTGTAATTCCGCTACATATGGCGAGAATAAAACCAATGGAGATGTTTCGTGACATAAAATGTTTTGAGGTATGCCGCAACTTTGTACATTATACACCATAAAATGTTACAAGGTGACTGATTCTCTGAAAGATCGCTAAAGGAGTAGTCGCCCACGGTCTGTAAGGACGACTGCGAATATTAAAATAATCAGAGAACGACTTCACCGAAATCCATGTCGCACCCAGAAGAAACTTGCTTTGCAGACTAACATTTCACGTGTTCCAGTCAACAGAATTATGAAATACGACCTCAAGGAAAGGCGTACAGGTGTGGGAAAGTCCACTTGCTAAATGATTGCCTCCTATAAAAAATACGCTACACCAATGAAAGAATGTTCATGGTCAAAGAAAAGTTCAACTGATAAAACAATAAATATTTTTGCCAAAAGCAGCGAAGGTGTTCCAGCTTCAGCACAAAATGTTTAGCGTACCCATCATCTGGCGAGTGTGATGGTATGGTTAGTGGTGGGTTTCGTATAAAGGTGTCACTACACTCCATTTTTGCAAACAAGGCGTTAAGATAAAACCAAAAAATTATCAAAGTGACATTTTAGAGACTGTGGTGAAACCCTTTATTTAACAAAAAAGAATGGATTTTCCAGCAAGACTGCACCGGCCATAAGGCTAAAATGAGTCAAGCGTAACAAATTTTCCGGGCTTCATCGCGGTGGAAGAATGGCCACTCTCCAGTGCTGATCTTAACCCACTTGACTATTCTCTGTAGACTGAATTGGAACTCAAGACCTGCCAAAAGTCGCACCCAAACCTGGATTCTCTAAAGCGGAGCCTCATCAAATAAGCGAACGGAAACCCACTGGAGAAGCTTTATGCCGCGACCTAAGATTGGCCAGAAAGTCTAAGAGCTTGTATTAGGAATAGAGGCGGCCATTTTGAGTAATAATTGCTGGTAGTTGTTGGTTGATTAGTGTCTACTTATCATTAACTGAAAATTTTTAAAATATAATTTAATATTGAGTTAATTCTTTAAATTTTTATGTAAGTTTTACTATGTCTCAAAACTTATGAGCTCACGAGGTCTATAAAATAAAATAAAACTTATATTCTTTAACTCACAAGCTGTGTTTGTGCAACAGTGATGTCGTGTATCGGGCCCCAATGTCCATGCACAGTATCAAGCACGCGCGCAGGCTCCCAACCTACCACATGCAGTCCGTCGTTGCCGCAGCCTAGCAGCGTCGCGCCGTCTTCACTAAATTGCATAAACCTGTACAAATACATTACTATGTAAATAAGTTCATTATAAAAAAATATTAAGACTTTTACTTAATTCATTATGTGTCGACCTCGAGTGTTATGCAACCTTTTGTATGGACAAAAGGTTGCATAACACGTTAAGTTATAATCTAAAACTAAGCACATACTGCACTGCAATATCCGCATAGTATAAATTTTACTGTGATATTTTACAACAAAATTCATACAGTGTGTTAAGTACTTACGTTAATACATGCACACTGTGCATAAAATATGGTTAAAATAAAAATTTGTACAGTAATTATTGCATCTTTTCCGTACCTCAGCGTGACCTAGGCTTAATAATAATAATAAATAACAGTGTCCTATATTATAGTACCACTGCTGGGCATGACAGAAAAATTGTCAAACTAACCATAAAAACAGTAAACAAAAAGTACATACCTAATGGATGTTTGCTCCTTCTCAAATTTGGACACCAATTGGAATTTCTCCATGTCCCAAAAATTTACTGTTTTGTCAGTCCCAGAGCTTGCAAGCAGGAACTCATGTGGGTGGAACTTGACACAAGTGACAGATGACGTGTGCTCGATAAACTCTTGCAACACCTTACCAACACGCACATCCCATACTTTTACTATTCCTGAAAAAGAGCAACAATATTTTTTTTATACATGACAGGCAGATGACTCTACTCCACCTGAATAAACAAATACATAAATAAGCAGTAAATACATAACTAAACAAGTAAATAAATAAGCAAGTGCTTCTATTTTCTCAATGCCCCTCAGCAATCATCAGATTTCCAAATGCACATGAATATTAATTTCCATGGCCATTAATTATTACATTTAAAATCTATAATATGAATTTTGAACGACGTACTTTATTGTTGATATATTTTGATTTCCGTGTGAACTATATGGAGCTATAAAACTATTTCCCTATTTTTAATAGCATTTACTCCATGTCAATAAGCAAGTTAACAAAAATAAAGTAAAGGAAAAGGAAGTGATTTAACTTTTTTATAATATTCTTTTAAAATATTCTTTACTGTTCCGATTAAAACACCACAAGCAAAAGAAACACGTTTTTGCACTTTTTAAAAATAGCCATTTTTGTCTTTCTTGAAAGTATCGGTTTCTTGTACAAAAATACAAGTACAAGCTGTAAGTTATCAGTCGTGCCTGTGACTTTAGCGGCTTTCCTCCTATTAGATAGTAAATAGAAAATGTAATAGCAACTCTATATACTTCCAAGTCGACTGAATGCGCCCAGTCTGTACCAAAGGCAAAGGGCAACTGAATAAAACTCGAAGACAGCTAAAACACGAAGTTTGCCGGCCCTGGCAGACTTAAAATAGAAGCACTGTAATGCATGTGCTATAAAGTTTAAAAGTGATTTGAATTAAGAATTTAATTTAAAATTCAATTTCACCCAAGTGGTTTAAGGTTTTTTTTTTTATTAATTTTGGCTTTGGTATTTGTTTCAAACCCACATACAGTGGCAAATTTGTTGTTGAGTGATTACATTTTGAGTCAAATTAGTAGTTTTGAAAAGTATGTATTTAATTTTAATACACAAACCGTCTTCACAAGCTGATGCAATCCACTGGCCATCCGGACTAAACTGCAAACTATTTACAGCCACATGATGACTGGAATATGTATATATGCATCCTCTCTGCCTTGTGTCCCATAATTTTATATTACTGTCACAAGAGCCTGTAGTCAGATAATCACCATAGGGGTGAAAGTCCATACACTTTATAGCACCTTTGTGTCCAGTAAAAGTTCTTAATAATTTAGCTGCTTCTAAGTCCCATATTTTTAAAGCTCCTGTTTGTGAACCAGCACAGACTAGATCTTCTGAATGTCCAAAACACACACATTCCACAGGGGTTGTGTGTCCACTAAGACTCTGCAAATAGTAATCCAATTTAATAATTTTATTTTAAACATAGTTCTGACAATCTTGATATCTAACTTTTTTATTTTTTAATAAATTAGCAAATTATTTAAACTTGGCATAATTAATGGGATAAAAATGTGAAGGTATTTACATAACAGTTCCCTAAAACATATCCATAGATTTTAAGAGTAAACTATTTTAAAGAAAAATATTTGTTTGTAAATTATAAAGAATCATTTGGTAAGGTTTGAACTCCAGACTTTCAGTATACATACTTTGGACAAAGAGGACACTAGACCATACCTTTGCATGCATGTATAACTAAAAGATTGTATCTGAAAAGTTACATGAATTTAAAACAATCATGAATGCCTATAATCATACATACAATAAAAGTATAACTTTTGGCTGCCAATTTTGCAAAAAACGTAAACTATTATTTCGCTTTACTAACCATCTAGTGGCTATTAGACTACATAAAACCGTGACAATCCCCCTTAATACTCACAAATTTTTATATATCACTTAGCATTATACATAATAACGCAACACTAGGAAACCGTGTATCGCGGGTGCCATGGACACACACATAGACCCACAAATTACACCCAAACTCACGAGAAAAATAAATGTAGGCCATACACATATTTCTTCTGGCCTGGGAATCGAACCCAGAACCTCTGTGTGGCAGTCCAGCATGGTAACCGTTCGGCCATGGAAGCAGTTATTATTATACAACACTTGAAGATATTCTCCTTAACCTACTTGTTACTGAAACATAAATCTTTCCGATTTGTTCTATTTTCGCAATATTGTCCGATTTTAGAATAAAAGTCATAAGAAAGATAAGGAAAAAATTCAAGAAGTTCTGGAAAAGCCAGAAAATGGTGTTATTTTTAAAAGAACTTGCTTGTTTAGTCTTACACTAAAATTGTTATTGGATTAAATGAAAAATTATTGACTTTATATTTTTTATTAGAAATAAAATAAAAAAAATAATTTTCATTATACAAAAAAAAAAGTGTGGTACATTTGAAAACAGTCTTTCAGATGCAAAGTGATTTTACATTTTGTTCAAAATAATTTGGTGTTTTTGTTGTTTGAACTTTTTAACTTAGGTCTCAGAGTGACGGACGCAGTTGTAGTGCCCTCAGATCTATTCCAATTGCAGCTGCGAGTGGCACTGGAACTGCTATAGACAGACGAGTATCTTACCACCAGATGAACGACATTTGTCCAGTCACTTGGTATCATAAAAAAATCATTTGTAGCAACATGTCTTTTTTGCTAGTTGAACTACACACATATCATCATCAGTGTCGATAGACAATTCACTATCATCACTATAGTAAACTGTTTTGGGCAAAATTATGACATGAGATGGTATGTCCTCATCGTCTTTGTGGGATGCACGAAAGGAGCCTACCCGTAATGAGGTATTCCTGGTATACATACCAGGAATACTCTGAGCAAGAATTGGTGAGTACCTTAAGCTAATTGGCAAATCCTTACACTATGATGGCAAACATGTACCATGCATAGCTCAGCTTGGTAGCTACTTGAAGCATGATTAGCGTGCCTAAGTTCTGGGCCGGGATAATACAGTGTATGCCATCAATACAATAAGAAGAAGACCGTCTTCCTTATTTTCCACCTCCTCAATAATTTCATTCATTTTTAACACCCTTAAACATGATCTGAATATAAGAATACTTATTACAAACATATTACAATAGTAACCTACATTACTACTGTTTGATATAAAGAACACCAATGTCGACAACAAAAAATTCACACTTTTATTTATTATTCCAACATAAAAAACTGTTAAATAGGATATAGAACATAATAATAATATTACTATGCCGTAGTAGTAGTAACACATGCAATAAAAATATTGTTACTTTACCTTTTATTAGCAATCCTGTTTTTATAATGTAAATACTTCAACACTAATACACAATACAATATATCACAAATGACACTCCTAACTTTTCTGTCAACACTAAAATTGTTTTTCTTTAAGTGTTCCTTTAAAAGTGAACTAACAAGTAGGTATGTGTTATTATTATTACGTAAAATTTTCAGTTCACATTCTATTATCCAAATTTTTTTAAAAGACCTTTATTTAAATTGTATGTTATAAAATTAGTATCTAAAAAGTAAAAAAGTTTTAAAAATACAAACCATCAAACAACTTTGCCGGCCTATAGCCCATAGATTGACTTTCTTATCATCACCTCCAGTGGCCAGTACTTGGTTGGACTTATGGCCCATCGCCAGGCAATTGACATTTGCTTTGTGGGCGATGAACTCTTCTGCAACAGGCATTGAACCATATTGGTATAGCCACATTTATTAACAACCATTTTACTAATTGTTTACTTATTGACTTACGCAGTTTCCATGACCTTCGTATTGAATCCATTGTTAAATGCTTATTAATCTAAAACGATTCCACGTAGGGATCGTAACCTTGTAAAAAGTGCACATAAATTTATTCACTCAGATTATAATTTGTGTACGCAGCACAAATCTCGAACCAAAAATAAAATATTTGTTAAATCAAAGATTTTCTTTTTAATTGAATTATTCTATTGCTTTGCTATTAAATTCACAGGTGATTTTGTTTGACATTATTTGATTTGACAGATTAGTTGGCAGGCGAATGAATGAAAAGAACGAACAATAACTTCGAAAAGAGTGGAAAAAAAAGATAATTAAAATCCATAGACAAGCTGTCTTTAAGTGTGATGTGACATTCTTTTCTTTCGTATGCTCAATATATATATTTATCTTCTTCTTTGATTGTATGAAAATGGAACAAGCCGTAACTGTTCCTTGTGAGTATAGTGTTCTGTGGTCCTGATGACATTATTTTTTTTATCAAATGTGTGAAAAATTAATCTTTACTTTGCAAATTCGTCTGGTCTGAAATATTTGATGTTTTTTTAGTATTAATTCATAATGAGCGACGAAAATAATAAAAATGTTAAAGAAATCAGGGAATTATATTCCATGTTTCATCAGGAGTACATTATTATGGCAGAATAGTAAGTAGAAATACTTTATAAACGAAGTTCAAGAAGGAAATTTGTTCTATTACAGATCCTGCATTTTGAATTTTTTGTTTCAGTCGCATGTTACAAACGGAGAATCTACAGGGAATATATGTGATACCGTCGTACGAAAATTCATTCTGTAAGTACTTACCATACACGTATAAAATTCGTAAAACGTTGGGCAAGTAATAATTTCTTAATTCTTGAGCGGTGTTTTCCAGTGTGGTTCGGGGTGATATTTGTGAGAGCTGGTTGTTATGAAGGTGGGGTATTCAGGTTCACATTGACGTTACCAGAGAAGTTTCCAGATGATGAAGTTCCTGTGAGTATTACTTAGTATTTTAAATATTAAAAGTTATATATTATGATAGCTTCAACCTGGGCTATCAGACAAAGCCCTCTTTGTTTCATATTTTTGTATCTGTATATACCTCTCGTATGTACTACAGGTTACAAACCTAAACGGCTGTACCCATTTTGCCAATCCTACTATCTTATTGTTATGTAATTATTACAATGTTATTGTATTTTTTATTTTCAGGTTTTAAAATTCACATCACATCTATACCACCCAGCAGTCGATGCCAATACAGGCATTCTCAACCTCAATGAAGTGTTTCCACAATGGGATAGAAAACGTAATCACATATGGCAGATATTAAAATACCTGCACTGGATATTTCACAATCTGAATATGAAAGTACCCGCTAATGTGGAAGCTTCTATTACGTAAGTTGTGGTGTGTTTCCTTAGTACTCTGGAATTATGAGTGCTGGTCCCTATCATACAGTAGTGAGTATTGAGTGAGGCAGAAAAAGCATGAAGGTAAGGCAATTGTTGTACAGATGAGATATTTGTGCAATATGTATGTATTGTGCAAATCTCTAATTTGCACTGTACAGTGTTAGTTTTAAAGATAGAATGCCGAGTAAAGTAGATAGAGAACAATGTGGTCAGAAAGGTAAAAGGGAATGCTTTGATTGTTTGATTCTGCAGAAAGAATCAATTAGCAGATTGATTGTTTAAATTTATAGGGATGAATGTGGATGGAGGGTAGATTGATGTATGCTTAATGTACACATCTAAATCAGATTGGAGATATTCTTAAAAAAGCAGGCTTAAAAGTAACAAGTATCAAAAGTAGCAAGGTATGTATGTATGTATGCATACCCCAAAGTAGTAAAAGTCATCTCACTGTAAAAAACAGAATAAGCTGATTTGGATTATTGGATAATTCAAGGTTATATTTTACTACATGCTTAACATGTATGAATTATATTATTGTACAGTTTATATTTATATTGTTTCGGTTGTATATGTGTTACAGTTTATATTATTACAGATACAAAACAAACAAAAAACTATATCTTGAAAAAGTGAGAGAATGTGTAGTATCGAGTATTGATCATGTATATGATGACCCACCTACTGAGGATAAGCATTATATTACATTCAAGCCTTACGATCCAGACATACACGATACTGCAAAGAATATTATGCTGCAACCTCCAAAATCAACTGAAGGACATACCCAGGGAATATCTTGGGTACAGCCTGGGTCTTTTCAGCCATTTTCTAAGGAAGAAACCACATAATGAAACAAAACTGATGTTGACCATTGGTGCCTAAGTTAAACACTATATAATGTATCTTGAAAGTATTATGACAGTAATTTGGCCATATTATACACCTGTGATAAAAGGGAGAATTGGGTACACATAAATGGTGATAATTACATTATGTTGTAATTATTATGAATGCAATAAAAACCCATACTTTGTGAATTAATAAACATATTATTGTTAGTTAGTTCATCACAATTTTCCTAGTTCTAAGATAGGTATAAAAAAATGCCCAACTTTAATGTTTGATTTTTATGGACAAATATTTAAAATACATAATTCATTACTAGAATTAAGCTACTTTTTATACATCAATAAACAATTTTTTAATTAATCTGGATTTTCATTTACTTTCATTTTAAACTTTTTAACGTTCTCCTGGAACCAAAATTGATCTAATTCATAGTTTTTATTTTTCCAATTAAAATGAGTTGGGGGTTTGCCATCGCCATTTTGGAATTCAAAGTTTTTACTTAATTCTATAGCCAGTTTCGATCTGATTAGTCCTATGCCACCATAATTATCTTCTGCGGGGTGGTAGACTCTACCAGTTGTTGGAAACATGTATATTTTGTCAGGCATAAATGGTGTAATTAATAAGTCCCCGGCATGCCCGTAAGTTGTGACATCTTGACCATCTTTCGTTATTAAATGAGTATACACAACAGGGACATCATCACATCTTATGAAGTTCCTTTCTCTGCCACATAATGATATAAATGGAAATTCGTGATATCTCCCAGTGTTATTTTGCCTGATTCTTTTGAAGAAAAACTGAAGGAACTTCTTCTCCTTGAAACACGAGGTGAAATTTTTCATTTTCGAATCATCTAAAAAGAGCTAAAACAACAAAACCAAAGCGTTAAAACCATACCGTAAGAACGGAGTTTCTATTATATGTATTTGTCTAATTCATTGCAGTAGAATATAAATGAAGGGCACAAAGACTTATAACACTTTACTTACCATTCCCTGGTGGTCAATGTAATAAAAATATTCTCTAATTTTTGGTTCTGGTTCCTGGCCTTGAACATAGTGTAAATATTTGTATTGTGAAATTACTGGTAAAAGAGGGACACGAAACAGTTTTGGAATGAGCATGTTTCGACTTTGTTGACATCGCACTGGCTACTTTCTAAATCCACACCCTAACTTCATCTAATTCTAATCATAATCAGCTGGTATATCGTATCTGTCAATGTCAAATATTACAAAGTGCAGTCGACTATGGCGCTACTGGAGGTTATATAAATAAAAAAATATTGTGTTATTATTTATCGATATCTATAAAATGTGCTAAGGTTTACATAAATCATAAATTATTACGTTAATGTTAACGATATCTATTACTAACGTATAGTCGTTGGTTATTATGATATAAACTGAGCGATTAATTACATTTTCATTCGTCTACATGATTTTATTTGCGATAAACAGGAACGTGAATTTCACTTTCCGAATTTCAATGGCATTTTTTGAGTGATTGTAAAACCCTTTTTCCTTTTGGTTTTAAGATCTTAAACGTACAAATAAGTTCAAGCAATTTCAATAATTATAAAATCACAGAAATATTTAAGTTAAATACAACAAAAAAACGATATTTTAGGTCACATTAATGAGATTGCAGTAACACGTATGATTTTCTCATAAACATAAATGAGAAAGACGGCATAGTAATGAGAAATTATTATTACAACACACATTTTATCGTTCACAAAAGAACATTTAACAATATTTAACAGGTCACAAATATTTTTATATAACTTCTTGTATCAAAATCTTTCTCATCCATCTAAGACCATCTATCTATCTATATGTAATTTGTAATTAATTAATAAATCTAAAAAAGTATTTCGTTAATGTCATATAAACTTTGTTGTACATCAATATATCATCATCACCACCATCAACATCAGCATCATGATCACCATTATCATCAGCATCATTACCATTATCATCATCATGACAATCATCGTCATCATCACCACCACTATCACCATCTAATTGTTATATTTCAAGTAAATGTTTGGCTTAAAGCAACTATTTGACTTAAAAGTAGACAAGAATGAGAGCGGCAATAATGAAATTTGGATACATTTTTAATTGTCAAGTGTGTAATATATGCTAGATCGTTATAAAAGTGCATGGATTTTAAAGTTCCCTTTATCTAATTAATGTACAATAAAGTTTATAAAACTATTATTACTTAATACTTATTTAGATAGATTGCTTTACATGAATGAGAACGATTTAGTTACTAGCGCTGAAATTGATATTTAAGTCGTTTTTTGCTAAAACGGAGATGCACAGGTTACTTCACTGTGTACACTCCAATCCGACAGGAGCCCCTTCTCACGTGTGCGAAGGGTGAAAGGTGATGCGGTATGAACTTTTGTTATAAGGAGGCTTTTAGTTGAATTGACACTAATGATAAGAAAAATTGAAACACATTTTGTATTTAGGAATGAAACTATTTTTCCGGATTTAAATCGCGTATATTTGTTTTTTCAAACAAACCGACGTTTCGGGCCCGTCACGGTTGACTGTGAAAAACAAATATACGCGATTTAAATCCGGAAAAATAGTTTCATTCCTATGTGTAACAATCGCGAAAACCTAAGAACTCGATACATTTTGTATTCCCAAGAAAACATATTTGTTTATAATAAATTGGAAAGTTATGGTATGTATGCGACGTGTAAGTAATTAGAGTGTATCCTCGACGGGAAATGTTGCGATTTCCTCGAGTGTTTAATTTATTTCTTCTTTTCTTAAAATTAGGGCGACGTGGAACCGGCTCCCATGAATGAGAAATTGCCTACTTTTGAAATTTTTATTTATTACTGTGACGTAGTAAAGAACTTTTTTATGTGTAACACAGACTAAGTAAGCAAGCAATCATATTAAATAAAAAAGTGCTTAGCATTCATGTAATAACATAAAACTTATTGAAAGGGACACATTTTTGGAGGTTATCTGAAAACGGCCCCTAATGGTACAAATTAGCGATTTTGTTTGCTCTTACTTCTTTTTTTTTTTCATCCTCTAAGGCTCAACTCACACTGGCGCAGAGTCGAAGCGCGTCGCGACGCATCATGTTTTTCGTCTATACCAATTCATCTTTATTTTCCCATAATTAACTCGAGTAAAGAGCTTGGCTGTAGGCTTTGATTAGCGCAATTCTGACGTTAATGAATTGGACAATTTGTGTACAATCTGACGTACAGCCCCGCCAAGAGTGAACGGAGATATGAAATACGTCTTAATTTTGTCTGCGTTAAAAACCATAACCGTACACTTGGTAGAGTTGTAGGTACCTACATTAAACCAAGTGCTTTAGCATAGATTTCACATTTGTTCACTAACTCCGTTGGCGCTCCAATAGACGGACCCAGCAGCACCATATTTTCGTCTTCATAGCTAATGTTAAGACATGTGTCTTCAATGTGAACAGCTTAGGCGATGTTAAGCCCCCCTGTCGCATCCAACATTTCATCCTGTATTCTGCCCACTTCACATACCTAGTTTGATTGACTGTGATACCAAAATTTTTTTTGTGTGAATGTTACGCGATTACTCTGACATTTGTGACTTGATTTCGATGATTCTTATTTTGTTGGAAAGGGGGTACCTCAGTAATAGTCCCATTCAAATTTGAAGAAACTATTCCACGCTTAAGGGTGGCAAATTAGGGAATGAATCTGGTTTATTAACTTCCTCCGTGGCCGAACGGTTAGGTACTACTATGCTGTTCTGCCACGCGCACAGGTCCCGGGTTTAATTTCCAGGCCTGGAGAAATATTTGTATGGCCATACAGTTTCGCTAGTGCAGGGCTATAAGGATAAACACGGCCTTCATGAATGTAGGAGACAAGTACGCTTCCAGGCTCAATGAGAACCAGCATACTTAAAATGTTTTTTATCACTTTTATTAATCATCGTTATCAATATTCTGAAAATGGAGAAAATCTTCTATAGCTCTTCCTCTAGCTTCTAATTTTTTAATTTCTGTACGGGTGCTCACATTGCACCCGTATACTACGTATACTGACACTTTTTTATTACATGTAATTTTGTTTATTTTACAATATTTTGAGTGAAGATTATTACCTTTAAGTACGAATAAACCGCCTCATAGGACCATTTGGGAAAACTGGAGAAATAATGTTCAGATGTTCAATACATTTCGGTCAATAAAAAGGTTTTTAGTAGCACTAGAACCTTGTGAAAAAGTTCGTCCAGGGAGGTATTGCCGGAAGTGGTGTAACCCAAATTCAATTTCTTTTCTACAATATTACTTTAAGCGACCGACTACAATTATAATTATTTTATATTTGGATGCTATTTTCATGTATAAAAAAACATATCATTATTAATTTATTTTTATTCATGAAAGTAGCATCCAAAAATAAAGTGATCATGTAGGTACTTTAGTATCATTGAAAGTAATATGGTAGAAAAAAAAAATTATGTGGGTCGCTGAAAGCATCAATTCAGCTTACGGCCTTCACCATATTAATGGTAACAAAGTGCGAATAAATTAGCCGCGCATATTCAAATTTAGTAACAGTAGAGCTCCTTGTGAAAGAGTTCGTCCAGGGATGTACGAGCTTTACTGCATTCCGGTTTAGAAGAGTAAGGGTGCTGTTAAAATTACAGACACAATCCGATGGGACTTATTAACTTGTGTCTCAAGGTGATGAGCGCAGTGGCAGTGCCCCTCAGATCTTAACGATTTAAAGCTCTGAGGGGCACTGCAACTGTTATGCAAACACGTGTCGCTTGCCACCACCAGGCGCACGATTTGTTCGTCAGTCACTTGGTATCATAAAAAAAAAGAACGTTTAGTTTGAGTTAGTTATATTTGTTTTTGCAATCCGATGGACTGTAAATTTGTATAAATAGGTATAGTTGTTAAATGATTAATTACTAATATCAAGTTTCTTACCACGGTATGACTCCTTTTTATATTCTCGATATTTCGGAACGGTTGCACGCTCCATGGTCACGAAAAATTCGGAACGGTTGCACGCTCCATGGTTACGGCTTGACTGGACGGCGGCAGATGACAGGGGTGACAGAAAAAATAGCCAGGTTGCTAAGCAAGTGTTCCATAAAAACTGTTTTCACCCCCTTAACCAAAATAGGAAAAATGTTACGTTCACCAAAAGACCACCTTCCTTTACAAACATCGGGTGTCTATAAAGTGAACTGCAGTTGTGGGAGCTCGTATATCGGTCAGACTAAACGAACAATTGTCGATCGTATGAAGGAACACATCCGAGCAGTAAAAAACAATGATGCACAGAAGTCGGCTATAGCATAATATCTCACACAGACTGACACTAACCACTGGATCGAGTTGCATAGCCCCCAGGTACCCTCACAGAACGTCACAACATACCACGGTTGGTAAGAGAAGCCATCGAGATCACGAAGTACAAAACATTTAACCGTGATGATAGTTTTAAACTGTCCAGTGCATGGAATCCGGTCCTTAGTGCGTGCAATAATAAAAACAAACACTTCGAGTTCAGTTTCGCGTGTGGATACAGTGAGTGTGGTTTGTGTGAAAAAAGTGAGTGACAATGGTAACGCCACAACAAATCGCGATGAAGGTAGTCGTCGACAGCGCAAGAGGGTAGACAGATATGTCTGCTCTTAGGGTCGTATTCCAGAACTCTACTCAATGCTCAAGTCAGGATCTGAGTGTGATATCAAGCACTGGAAATACGACCCTCATGGCGGAGACTTGAGTATGATTTCGAGTGCTTTAAACCATACTCAAATCCTGACTTGAGCATTGAGTAGAGTTCTAGAATACGACCCTTAAAGCTGTCATCTGCCGCCGTCCAGTCAACCCGGGACCACGGAGCGTGCAACCGTTCCGAAATATCGGGAAAATAAAAAGAAGTCATACCGTAGTAAGAAACCTGATATTAGTGATAATCATTTAGTCAATAACCACGAAAGTCTTAAAATCTACATAGGTATAGTTGTGTTGGGATATCATGATTTACTATCGAAAGTCAACACAAAAACTGAATTTCCATTTCCATACAATTTTTTATTTCAATTGATTGCTGCCCATGGTTTGCTACCGGCCCATAATATACCTACGCGTAA